GAAAAGAAAGCTGAAGGCACCCCCAGCATTCTCCTCATTTTGGAGAATTCCTGGGTACACTCCCTGTTTTAGCTTGTGAGTCAAGATGATAGTTTCTTTTCCCCCTTCGAAGCCGTCTACCGACCCCTAGCCTCGCCTTCTTCTTCGGAACAAGGGCGGCCGGGAAAGAAAAGTGTCAGTCTTGGGAGGTGGAGAAGGAATTTGCCGAAGAGATGCCAGAAATGCCACGCATAGGGTTGTAATACCGGGGGAGACGTGAGGTTATCCGTGCTGTCGGACCTACTTAGTGCTGGCTGACCAAGGGCACACATGGTAATTGATCTGATTTACTTTGTACTTGCTGAGATTTGGGGCAATCTTGATCGGTCCTACTAGTGGGTTTGGAGGTGGGAGAAGGGGGAAACGGTTGCCTTCTCTGGTGGAGAAGGGGACTCCATCTCGAACCCCAGTGCTTCCACTTTCCGAAAAGAAACCGGGGGTGAGCGACCATAACCATAGCCACTAACCTTGCGCGCCAAAAAGAAGAATACGGAGCAAAGAAGAACACCTCCAAGTATTGCTTCGTACTTGCACGGAAACGGCGAGCAGATGTGGTGGAGTGGGGAAAGAAACATTTCGCCGAGGTTTTCACGACCCAATGCGAGTGGGGAAGAAGGAACGGACTAGCGGGGCAGACCCGCCGGGGTTCCTTCCTAATCGGGCAAGCTCTTCATCTTGGAGTGTCGAGTCGCGGTGCTGCTTCTCAGTGCGCTTCTAGAAGTTTTCGGCGACAGAGTGGAGTGGAGTATTCGTGCTGCTTTCCCCTTTGGGCTTTGCCGTTTCCTTCTCTTTCCTCTTTCGAACTGCGTTTTGCTTTCAAGCCAAATAGTCTTCTGGAGGGGGGTGACCTGAGAAAAGTTCGAAGGAAAAATGGAGACCTCTTCAAAGAGAGGCTGGTGGAGGGGAGGGGTGCCCGGATATAGAGCAAAGATGCCCTCTTTTTCGTGACGTGACGTATTTCGGGCAGGTTTGGAGAGCATCAAGCAGACGCTGCTCGCGGGGATATCCAAGTTATGAAAGGTGGTCAATGAGAGCAAGGCAAGCAGGAAGCAACCGTGCGCGTCGCCAAAAGTCCACCACGCTTGAGGCTCGAGACGCTTTGCGCTTGGAACAAGGGGTGGCGCAGAGATCAATTGATGCAGTGCGTTTGGAACACGCCCTTCACAAAGCATGAAGGATCTCTCTCGAAGAAAAAGATTGTGCGTGGGTGCCCTGTCCGGGTGCAAGACGGCTAGTTCCCCGGGGAGAGGCTACTTTGATACGAAGGCAAGTTCCTTTGCTCGGAGACGGACGTCAGTTCGGGGCTCCCCTTTCATTTTCGGACGAGTGAGGTGTGGCACGGCTGACATTTAGTCTGGTACAGCCGAGCGAGTTCCGTCTCTCGAGGGGAAACGTCGGAAACGGAACGGATGACGGGCAGTCGACCGCAACTGGCGTTTGGGGGAACAAGGAACATGCTGGGCATGTACCTCTGACCTTTGTTTCGCCGGCCTAAACTCTAACCGGCTACGGACGCGATCACGAGGGATGACTAACATGACTAGCAAGGCGACGCGGTGCAGTCGTGACCCTCCTTGACGTTTCTCCAAGCGTAGAACAAGGCGCGATGCCAAGTCACTTGTCTCCATCTGGAGGAAATGTTGCCCCTACTCCTTTTGTGTTAGTGGGCTGACAGTTGATGTGCCCCGGGAGATGACCCCGGATCGGCATTTCCTTTCGCCAGGTGGCGAAGCAAGCTTGGATCAGTGAACCCAGCACGGCGGCCTCACGTCACTCGGCATCACAGCATGAATTGTCATCTCGGTGAGAGGGTGGGAGGTAGGAAGACGAGCGAGAAGATGGTAGGGATGTACGGTCGAGAGAGAGCTCTCTTCCAAGGCATACCCGCTGGTTTCCTGTCGGGAAACATGATGATAAAAAATAAGAAAATAAAACCACTAACAAGAAAAGAAGGAAGCGAACCTAGAGGAGACATTGAAGTTGATCTCAGCGTCATTATTCGTTCCCGGTCGAATCTAAAGCACCCAGCGACCACCGTTTCCCCTTTGGCCTGAACTCTAACGAGGTCTCGAGACAACTGCCCTACGTAATTTCGGGAGCTTGCACCCGTTTCGGCGGACATTTCACGAGCATGAGATCGAAGCGAGCTGGCTAATAAAGCGATCACAGGGGCTCGACGCCCGTAGTTCAACTCCCTTGCGCCGGATGTTTGCGCCAAGCAACAGCAGCCAGGCCGGGAGTGCACTTGTCCAACGTTGCCGCGTCGCCTTTAGACTTTTAGTTCCGAGACATCGCGGAGGCGTGACAGGACAATTAGAGCATACCCTCCCCAGTTCCGAAAAGAAGACGGGCAAAGAAATAACCACAGTTGCCTTTGCCAGCCTAGCTTTTCCCCAGGGCCAAAACGTTCTAAGCCTCGCGCCCCCTGCACGCCCACCCCCTTCTTCTTTTTGCTCGTCGAGTCTTCCATCTGCTATTTGCCCTCATTCCTCCACATCCCGATGACCCTTCCGAGCAGTCAATTATAGAGCATTAGCGGTTCTTCCCCACAACCGTTGTGCCCCGAAGAAAAGAAGGGGTCTCGTGTCCGTGGTGATTTTGCCGCCTTCCCCGGATTGTCTACACTCAGGGTTGTGGCTTTTTTCGGGAGGGGGCGCCTCAAAGAAAGAGAGAAAGAAAAAAGATTTGAGTTCCATCGACGCCCTTCATCCTTCCTTCTTTTTGTTGCTCCTTTTCTTGATGCCGAGCGTGCTACCTCGTCGTCGCACTGAAATGCGTCTATCCCAATGTTCATCTGCCGCCCCACGATTCCGTCCGTGGACTAGTGAGAGAGAGGAAGAGAGAGGGCGTGTGGCGCCTCCACGACGCGACAAAACATGGGGAAATGTCACATGGTTCCCGGCACCTGTTTCCTCCTCTCTTTTCTTTTTCCCACCCCCAAACTTTGAGGCGGACTATTTTTCGGGGTCCCTCTATCATTGTACTACGGAAGGGGTGAACAGACGCGGAGGAGGAGGGTGACCCTTGTTCCAGAGCTATCCTTCGCGCAGCTCCCTCCTCTGTTCCAGGGCTGATCAGAGGGGAGAGGCTATTTCGCTTCCCAAACGAGAAAGCCGAGAGTGGCAATTAGGCTTCTACCCCCCTTCCCCTTTCTCCTTCTCTCTCCTGGCCGCCAGCGTTTGGGCCTCAAAGGGGCGGCACCCTTCTAGGAAGGCAGTAAATAAATCACTGCGACGCTTTGGTGCCGTCCCCTCCACAACTGGAAAATGCGACGATGCTCGTTGGACAGCCCCGGCTTTGCTACCACAGCGTCCCTCCATGCGCGAAGCAAGGGAGAGAGAAGGCGCTGGGAAGGATGAACACACCCTTCTCCACATGTAGCAGCTCCCCCGAGACTCCCCGGTGGAAGGCGTTCACTCGCGAACCGATTCCCGACCCGTTCTTAAAGCTGACCCGAACACACTGTTCTCGTTTCCGAAGAGGGGGGCGTGAAGGATGGCTGTCCGTCCGTCATCCACGACTCATGATGTGCTGTACCTTGCATCCATTTTCTGTTCATCACTTCTTCCCATCCTTGCTTCTTTCGGGCAAGCTTGCCTTGTCGCGTCTAAGAGTTTTGCCATTGGGAAGAAGGGGGCATGAATCCATGTGATGGGTGCTTTCTCGGGCGATCTTATTCCCAGTTTCCTTTCCGGGCTGACGATACAGATGGGGAGAGGAAGCAAAGAAAAACACAAGGTGGCAAGGGGCAAGATCTAACGATTCCCCCGCAACGGTCGAGACACGTAGCAAAGGGAAATTGATACACGCGCGACGAACAAACACGCCTCGTGGCCCATAAACTCTGTATATCCACTAACCCACGCGTGGTCAGCCCGGAAGCAGTTCGTGGACCCTCCCTCCTCTTTGTCTTTCTTCGTTGCCCAGTGGTGGTTGCATCCAAAAACGTCATGCTTTCGACCGAGGCGCGCTCCTCCATCACCGCCGCCACATCCTCGGTCGACGGGAAATCCCACCAAATGAGTAAAGAGACGAGTAGAAAGACGGGAAGAACAAGGGGAAGAAGAAAATTATACACACCGTTTTGCCCTTCACGCCCTCTCTTTTCCTCAACCCGTGTTCTTCCATCGGGAGTAGAGAAATGGCATGCAAAGGCAAGTCCATCACCTGGTGATTTGCACTTTGGCTTTCTCGTAGGTTACGCTTTACGCCTCTTTTCTCCTCCCCACGTGCGCGCGTGTTCGAGCACCTTTCTCCTTTCCCCGGCTTCGCCCAATCTTCCATCCATCCGAGAAGAAGCGGCGAAAGGCCCACAGCGAAGAAGATGGAATCTGGGGTAATAGGAATAAACTTTTTTCTCCTTGTCAGTCCTTCTTCCCCACCGCTCTTGTTAGTGGGTTGTTATACCGTGACGCTGACGTCGTAAGTCCGGGGTAATTCCCTCTTCCGCGGCCACACAAGATCAGTAACTCTGTCGTCTCTTCTTAGATGAGAGTCTGGTATAGGCTAAAACTAGAATTTGAGAGCCCCGGAAGGTTTCTGTAAGAAGCGTTCCGGACTATCCTCGCACTCCTCCTTAGAATTCTCGGAAAGAGGAATGCTAAGCCGTGTAAGAGTCGCGGGCCTGCCTCACATATCCTCATCAAATGACCTCGGAGTTGGGTGCTTAAGAGAGCAAGCCTGCAAAGAGAAGAGTCTGCACAGGGTCTTCTCTATGGTCTAGTGCCTACCCGGATCTTTGATATCACACATCAAGCCATCTTCACTACATGGGGCTAGTTTCATAGAACAAGAAGGACCAGGATAAGGAAGCAGAGCGCTCTGTACGCCGGAGATATCAAAAAGAACTTGGTGTATATACGATCAGACACAGCTACAGCGTCAAGCACTTGTGCTCCAGAATTCATTTACAATCATTGCATTTCAGCTATTCAATAGAGGAAAAATAGTAAAACCCACTTTTACTCATTCTTCTTCGCCGCCTCGCTCCCGCCAATTCTCTTATGCTTCCTGGGATCATTTCTATTCATCGCCCTGCGATCCCTCGTCCCCTTGCCACCCTCCCAGAAGCCCTTGCCCCTCCGGCCGATGACGCTGCGCCCGCAAAACGAGCACGCGTCGACGGCGTAGTTTTGCTCGCGGCTACAGAAGCCGCACACCATGCGATTCGCCCACTCGTTGACGTGGGCTTCGGCCTCGTCGTGGCACTTGTCGCAGGGATGCACCCGCCCGCAGCACGAGAAGCGGAACCACCGGTACGACTTCTTGTAGTGCTTGCACGTGCCTTTGTCCGGCAGGGGCTCGCCGGCGTGCAAGCCGAGGCGCTCCTGGCGGCGCTTGGGGCCTGAGTTCGGGACAAGGGAGCCGGGGAGACGAGCAGGAACTTCACCTCGGGGATCTTGAACGTGAAGCGGGCATGGCAATCGCGGCAGACATTGGTCGTTGTATCACCCCGCACCGACGTGACACCGGCGCTCGGGGTCGAGCACTTGGCACACACGGGTACAAAGGTGCTCGGGAGCATGTCCGCAATGGTACAGCCTCCCATATCGATGAGGCCCGCTCGGGTCGAGTTTTGGTGCACGAGCTGTTGGGAGTAGTTGACGACAAAGCCGTTGGCACACTTGGAGCAGCTGCCTGCCTTTTCCACGCCGTGCTTGAGCCCCGTGATGTCGTTGAGCGTCTTACACCGCGCGCACTTGACAGACAGGTTCAAGACGGATACCTGCAGGAGCTCGATGCCATAAAGCTCAATTGTCGGAAAGGACATGGCCGTGCCCTTTTCCACCGTCTGACTTGAGGCTGTAGACGCATTCGCGTTGAGAGAAGTTTCACCCTCTCCCTCCGATGAATCCTCATCCGGGGTATGTTCGCCGTCATAAGACCAGTCGCTTGAGCCGGCCTCGTCGTCGTCGTGTCCCCATTCTGGGGGACGGGGGATAACCTTGATGTGACTCTTGACAAAGTCCTCAGCGCCTGTTGCCGTCGTGGACACCTGCTCGGCAACGACGTCTTCGACGTCCTCGCTCTTCGCCTCGGCGGCAATCTCTAAATCCTTTGCCTTGGCTTGTAGCAGAGCCATCTTGGCCAAGACGTGCATGTTGGTGGAAAGGTAGTTGAGGTGGCTTGTGAGAGTCATTTGCTTCTGCTCCACCGCCTTCTGCGTGAATAACTCTTCGACAGGCTCGGCCTCACCCGAATCTACCTCATTGAGCTGCACGCGAAGCTGCTGCAGAGGATACAAGAGCGGGATAATAAAGTGAAGCGTCTTCACGCCTTGAAGGCCGGGGGAGCTCTGACCGCCTCTTGGGCTCGATGGGAAGGGTGTAAACGATGCCGTCAGCAGACTTTCGGTACATGGGAAGGCGGCTCATTCGGTTCTCGAGCTGCCTCGTCTCCTGGGCGCGTCTTGCCTTGGCTTCAGATATCTGGTCCTTGGTAAAGGACGGCTCTCTGTAGAAGCTCCGGGGCTTGGGAGCCGCCGCTTGCTGCTCGGGCCCGGGCCTTGGCGGGTGTCGTCGACTTTGTCGACGCCGCCGTGTTCGCCAGAGGTGCGGAAGGGAGCTGATCGAGGTGCCTCGTATCTCTGAAGGCCATGATCTTGACCGTTTCCGCCTTTTGCTCAGACAAGAAACTTTCCAAATTCTTGTCTAGCATGTTCATGAGCGAGAGGAGCGTCGAGGTCTTCTTCTCCTCGACGAGCTTCTCCCAACCGCGCTCAATGTTGATGGCAAACCCGCGGGGGATGTTGCTGTTCTTGACGGCGAGCGCGGGCCTGGACGACCCCTTGGGGTAATCACCGGGCACGGCCACCTCACACTCGAGATAGTCAAGGTCGAAGGGGAAGTCTGGGTCCGAGGGGGCAAGCTTGAAGAGGAGGCGCGTGCCACCGTTCGGAAGGTTTGTCTCCTTGGGATTAAACCGGCGGCGTAGCTGGGATAGCTGGTAACCGCGAGGATCGGTTTCCTGGGAAGAGGGCACGGGCTTGGAGACGACCCGGGAGGAGGAGGGCTCCGAGACCGCTTGACTGTGGCCAGGGCCCTGGCTCCCCGCGGAGGGGTCAAGAGACGCCATGACGTGGGGAAACTGTGGGAGTATGCTCGAATCTAAAGATGATATGAAAAAAGTATGCGGGGAGTTGCACCGCAGCGGAAGAAAAAGAAAAAAGCTCGGGGTATATAATTACAACGAGTATAGGAAAGAAAGAAAACAAGGAGGGAGTGAAAAAAGCTACAATAGAATGTTATGCTACTCAGTCAATGCGAAATGGATAGGAGACGAAGCTTGGAGGTGAGGATTGTGAGTTTGATGCTCCAAGATTTATATCGAAAGATCAAATTCATGGGAAGCTACTGCCGTCGCCCCCGCAGTTTCGGGTCTAGCTCCAAATCAGTTTATTATTTTTAGTCGCTGTTGCCTTCTGGTGACGTCCGTGGAAGAGGAAGGGGCACTCCGCAGGCAAAAACCGCATTGCATCTACCACTCATGACTCATTATGGCTCGGTTGGTGAGGCAAAGGTACTGTGCTAACATGCCACCATAATCTCATACTCTATGGGACGCTAGCGAATTACCTCTCAGTTCCCCACCATGCTTTGGCATAGCGGGAGGTTCTAAGCTATTTTCAACCGAACAATACGACAACCGTGAAGAAATCAACGAGGCGCTGCCTGTCTCGAGGCAGGCTCCCAGTCCCCTTTGACTCATAAACCCACTTGAGAAAAGTCCCAAGGCCGAGGGTGACCGTCGTCGTGCAGCTTGGCTTAGCTTAGCGATCGGAGATATCCAGACCCGGACAAACCAGAAGTTTCTGCAAGTGGCGAAACTCGATCGAGAGGAGAGAGCGGGTTTCTCGGTCTTGGCTCTTTTCCATTTCTTCTTGTCCCTTTGCTTTCTTCTTTCTCCTTACTCTTAACGGTGAGCCGGTCCAGTGACCAAGCGCAACCCCAAAAGAGGACTAAACCACTCGCCGCTCTTTCAACGATTTCCTCTGCTTACAGAATGGTAGAGGCGATCTTGACCACTAGCTAGTTGGGACCTATTTTCCCCACCGTAAAAGAGTGCAGGGACTGTCCCATGCCGAGTGCCGGGTCTCTGCACCGTTGCGGCCGGATCGGAGCTTTGGTCATGATTATCGGGCCCGGGTCCGGGCCACTACTCCACCCGGATCCGAGGCCGGACCACATCACTCACTTCTCACCAACCTCCAGCCCCGGCATGTATGCTACGTATCATATCTCGTTTCCAGGAGCCATCAATGCCTTTCGTCATCCCGAGATGATTTTCCAATGCCATATCACCAATTACTATCGATCGAGGTCACAAGACGCACTGAAGAAGGGGGTGCTTCAAAGAGATAGCTGCAATATTCCAACATAAACTCGCCCTTCGTCACGCACTTTCAATGCCGCAGCCGCGTACCCTTAAACCCCCTCCCCTTTACTCAGCGGAAATGAATATCAACAAAGTGTTAAGAGATGAATACCTAAACGCCTTGCGCAGCAATCGGGCCGGGTTGCGAACCGCGTATTCCCTTTTAACCATAGTACCGGTGGACACTTTGCGCTGCGACCTCGTTTCTTCAACTTGGTTAACCTCAATACATTGCCGCTGCACACCCCCTCCCCTTGCCCTTCTTTCCCTCTTCTTTTTACTCGTATACACTTTCCATTGTAAATTCCCTGGCAGCCTATATATCGATATGTTACTTTTATATATTCTTAAGAAGGAAGCAAAGAAAAAAGGTACGCTGCCACGCCGCATCCCCACATGCACCCTCCTCCACGATCCCTTCTCGTCTGTGTTTCAGGCACACACCACATGGCAAACAACCGCCTTGTTCGCCTACGATTCCTCCTCGGTGCACACGCCCCTCGTCTCCCACGCCCCTCCTCCACGTCAATCGCTTCTCTCTCCCTCTCTTAACTTTGACGCGGGGTGGGCCTCTCCTCGATTCGAGACGAAAAGAAGGGCCCGATATAAATCCGATTTAACCTTATCGCAGCACGTTGGGAGACACAGCCCTGGAACAGAAAACCCGGTACAATATCCACCCCTCTCCCCTCTCCCCTTCCACCCCTATTTCCACCCCTCAATCATTGCGCGATCCCTTTGCCTGTTGGGACCGCGGAATGGGATTGTGCTTGTTCCTGAGTGAGAAACCACAATCCGTAAAAGGGATTGGACCATATCCGCGTCCCTTAACATAACCCATTATCAGCAGTGGACCGCATGTGCCTACCGCATTCCGTCATAGCCAAACTACCGTATGACATGACCCGAGACGGAGATATCACACCCTCCCAGTTCGGTCACCATCGAAATTTGTAAACTATCGTTGCGTAGAATGGCTGGTGGTTTCCTTTTCCTTCTAAACAGAAAGGGCTAAAAGATAAAAGAAGAAAAATCAATATGATTAACAAACTCGTCATGGTATTCATGAACGCCGTGCCGTGCCCCCAATATCACCTAATAGTCCTTTGCCCTGCCATTAAACAACATCTTATACTTCCTCCCCTCCACACCAACGTATTCCCCGAGAAGATCGCCACCAGCCACGCCGGATTCGACGCCACCTCCCGCAGCACCCACGAGCACAACCACGGCCAGACGGGCACGTCCGCGCCAAGCACCCGAGCTTGGCCCGGGGCACGCCGCCGCCAGCCGGCCCAGGCAGTACCGCCGCAGGAGCAAGCCCGTGCTCCAATCCAGCGCCGCCCACCCCAGCATGCTCAGCGCCCACAGGCCCCCAAACGAAGCCCACGTCGGCGGGTCCCGCGCCAGCGCCAGCGCCAGCGCCCCGCCCACCGCGTGCGCAATCACCCCGCTGAAGAGTATGCACTCGACCCACTGCTCCATCAGCGTCCCGGGCCAGTACTCGTACTTGCGGCACCGGATCCACCGGACGCGCCGGTGCATGAACCCCCGGTAGCCGATGCGGACGGGCTGGATCGCGACCTGGTCCGCGATCAGGCAGTGTTTGCCGCGCGTGGGGCCTTCGGCCGCCGCCTGCCGCCAGAGGTAGTCCCCCATGACTTGGTCCTCGCACAAAAGTCGGACACGCCCTCGAGGCCGTTGTGATTGCATCGTGGCCCCGGCGTTGCCGCCGCCTCCCTGCAGCGGAGCAGGGTGCAGGCGCGGCGATCGAGGTCGGAGCGCCGAAACATGGTCGACTTGCCCGTCACGCACGGCCCGACCCCGAGCACGTTGATGGCCGTGTACAGCCGCGCGAAGCTCCCCGCGGCGTGCACCTCCTCCAGCGCCCCGCAGGCGTCGTACTCCGCCGCCACGTTGATCGCGATGGGCATGTGCAGCACCATCTTGTACGGCCGGGCCTTGTCGCCCCCGCCCAGACCCTGCAGTTCCTCCACCATCCTGCGGCACGCGTCGGGCTCGACCCAGGTGTTGGAGTCGAGGATCCAGACAATGTCGCTTTCCGCGTTCCTGTACGCCCTGCTCATGTTCCTCACCTTGGGGTTTGGTCCTAGAGATGCCGTCGCGCCGGCGTCTTCTTCCTCCTCGACGTAGACGCGGACGCGGAAGTCTGCGTGGTGCGCCGCCGCCTCTTGGACGGCGGGGAAGGCCGCGTCCGTCCTGGACGACACGCACAGCGCTATAGAAAGGCGCGAGCTGGGATAGTTTTGCTGAAAGGCCGAGGCCAGGCACTCTCGGAGCAGCGGGTCCGCATCCTTGCAGGGCCGGATAATGGTGACGTGCGGCAAAGCTTCGTCTGGTACGGGGCGCGTTTGCTTCCGTTCGCGGGCTGGGCCTTCCCGAGTCTCCTCACTCTAGAATCTTGTGTGTTAGAGTCCGCACACCAAGCTAAAGGGGAGAAGGGCTGGCTTGCCGGTCCAGCGAGATATATGCTTACATGGTCAGGTAACCGTAGATGTTGAGGCCGGTAATCAAAACGGCCCAAATCCCACAGATGAGCACCGAGATAGCCATTCCCGCCACAACCCAAAAAAAAAAAAAACCAAGAAGCAGAAAGGGAGATGGTCCCGCGATCAATAATTTGTTTTTCTTGCGTGAGGTCAGCAAAGTCTCCGTCGCAGCCTCTGTCGAAAATTTTCCCACCAAATTGCTCATGCGGAGTGGTTGAGCTGGAAAGCCCCCAGCCACCATCTAATTTCAGGCTGTAACCTTGCCGCTCCCACGAGCTGCCCCTAGGAACACGTCTACAAGTTGAAATTGATCAGGATGGTAGCATTTCGTCCATTGTATGGAATTTCATAATTAATGTTGATGTTTCACTAAAGAAAAGAGAAACTTAAAACAAGTAAGAGAGGCTGCGAAGATGTGATGCAAACCCGGTGTGATGCGATGTACGTCTAATATGTCTGCCTAATTAGACGAGAGGACCGCGATGGTCGAGAAGTTAAGAGATAGGCTGGCAGCAGGTATTCGACCTCCGCTAATCACAGTGGCATAGGTCTCTCACGCAAAGCGAGTCTACGGAGGCCTGATGCTAGGCACTTCGAGGCCGGAGGCATTTGTAGACTGAACAGACGCGAAAAGATAATAGAACTCCGAGGGCAGCATCCTTGTAGAGTGGCGCTCATTCTTTTACTCGAAAGATTTCACCCAAACGGGAGCTCCCTCTCAGAGAAACGATGCCCCATTTTCCACACCTCTAACAGTTTCCCATCTTCCGCGTGCGAGGGAAATCCCGCGGCCAGCCTGGTCAGGGATCTCTTCTCCGCAAGTTCGGCCCCTCGGGTCCGGTGCCTTGCTCGCCAACCCCAAACATGCCTCCCTAAGCCTATCCGCGAAAAAGCTTACCCGACACGTTGGTCAGAGCAAGCCGCGCGACAGGTCACCAGACGGGAAACTCATACCGCGCATCCCTTCTCGTTTCCAATCGAGGCAAGACGGATGCTCCGAGAGGGCGATGCTGCGCAGGACGGTCCGAACCCGCGGCTCTCGTAGTGGGGTGGCTGTATAGGGACGGAGAAAGCGAGAAAGTGAGAGAGCAAACAAGAGAGGGAGATAGAGAGAGATAGAGGGAGAGAGAATGAAGGTGAGCCGCTTTCCAAGAATCCCTCGGAAAGCATGATATTCCGTACACTCCCCGCTCCCCTTTTGCCGCCCGGCTCCTTTATTTAGCGACATTTCAATATCACACCCTCCCGTTCCGCACACGCCCTCGCCAACATGCCGAGGATCTACGCTTCGCCCTATCTACCTGTTGCTTTATGGCCAACTTCTTCTTGGGCCTACGCGATCCATTGCGAACATGGGCCTCGACAAGGTTTGGAAGAAACCGGTAGGTGCACGGCTGGCCGGCGCCACCCTCTTCCCTCTCGGCCTTGTGGGGTAGGGCAGGAAGAGATACTCGAACAAGGACTGCCGTGAGTGTCGCTAGATATAGTCCTAGGAAACGGCGCCGCCGTTTTGTGGGAGCGACAGGGCGCCCTCGTCCAAGTTTCAAGTGCCACGGAAGCCAAGCGTACGCGGATTGTGGAGGGTCCGGCCAATTCCCTAATCTTTGCGCAAGACGTCACCGGCGACCTCCTTCACACGATCCTCAAAGCCTTCGCTTCTCGACATAGAGGGGCTGCCGTCCCGGTCAGGATTTGAAACAGACACCCTCTCAGGATTGCCCGCGTTATCGATTGTTTCCCGCCGGTCAGACTGGGGTAACCACGTGCGCCCACCCAGAGTCGAGGGTAGGCTTGACGGGACGACATTCCGAAGGAGCCCTCTTCCCAAAGGCGTGAGGCAGTGGCTCGAACGGAGCCTTGTAGCAGGGTGTTCACCCATTTTATCCGGGTTCATACGAGGGGCACCTACGTTTTTCCGTAACCCAGCAGCGCACGCCCGCCTTACCAATTTGTTTTCTCCACTTCTCCGGAGCGTATAATCCTTCCCTTTGAACCCTCTGCTGACTGCGCCCTTGGCAAGGCTGCTCGGTTGCACAATGCTGCCCCGTCCGTCCGCCTGCCCGAGCTACTTTTCGAGGGGCTCCCTGGCTCTCCCTCGGGGAAGCGAAGCGGCTTGAATTGGGGTAGAATGCCAAAGTCACATGGCAGCTTGAGATAAGAATTCTAGCCCCGAGATATAGGCCGAAACACTATCCGTTTCTACACGTCTACCGGGGCGTGTACGGAAGATAATTCCTCGAGAGTCGGGTTGTGCCGATCTGGAAGGCACCGAAGCTGTCGGGGAAAAGGGGAACCACGCCCTCGCAATTCCGCCCGATCAAGTTCAGCGGGATCCTTTGTGCAATCGGACTTCATAACCCTTCCCGAATTGGAAGTTTGTTGCGATAGGATGGAAGGGGTTGGCAAAGAAGGTTAAGCAAGAGGCTTTTCGAGGTTAAAAAATGCCACCCTCAGACCACGACACTTGGACATAGAGGGGGCGTGTAAGGTGCCTTGGGTGCCTCGATATGCCGCTCCAAGGTCGCATAGTGTGGAAACGGTTGGCATGACGTCAAAGAGAAGCGAGCCAAGATTGGCTCCTCATTGACCCTTGCACCCAGTGCGGACGAAAGTGTTGGCTCTGCCCTTATCTTGCGAAGAGATTCTTGAAGGAGAGGGTGGGAGCTATTTATCAATCGCGTCGTCATGAAAGGGGAGGGGAGTCGTTGGGGCCCCGAAACACGATTGCAAATTGGGCTCCCAGAAGACCTTGACCTCTAGCCTCAAGGAGAGGGTTGCGCGATACAAAGTCCCCCTTCCGTGAACTTGATTTATCGAGAATGGCGAAAGGCAGGATGCCCATGCACATGTCGATAGGTAGGTGGCGTAAACCAAAGAAAAAAACCGGCTGCCAATGCACCTATTTTCATTCAGAGAACAAACACGCCGCCGTCATTGATTGGAATTAGCTCGCCTGAGTTGCATGGCATTTGATGCGGCCCCATCGACAAAGTGTGGTGAGCCGGCGTCCCGCCAATGATGGATGCGAGAGGAGAGGTGTGAAGAAGCTGCGAGGAGCGCGGGAAGGTGTGAAGTCTGAATCGTGAGGGGTGAGGGGTGAGAGATGAAAGGTGGGAAAAGAATTGATCTATGGATGGATCCAGTGTGGAGCGAAACATGCGAGATATGGGCTTCACCATGATAACAACTCTTGCACGATGATTAGAACTGGGTTTGCCTCCCTTGGATCCGTGTAAAATACCAGCTAGAAACACAGGATATGAGGCTGTGACCAGGATCCATTCGATTAATTCGGAATTACTATGGGGCGTGTTCCGCTGCCTTCCGTTACTGGACGTGCAGTGGTGGACTGCCACTATCTCTGATAACCAGGCCTCACGACAAAAATCAAGGCGGGCTCGCGGAACACCGCATCGAGAGTGGTAGATGGCCCGCCAACGCACCGCTCAGGCGCAGACAGATGACCTCGCTGCAGCAAGCACCTCCCTCGCCTGGGGGAAGACGAGAGGGCTTGAAAGGAGGGGGTAGCATCCCGAAGCGGGAAAACGGTGGTTCTTTTCAGCGTCAAAAGAAGCGAGATGGGTTTCACCCGAGTTGTGCTGACGCCGCAGGACGGCACGTCAACAGGAGCTCAAGGTCGTGATTGTTGAATGATGTGTGTGTTGTGTGAATTTGAGCTGCGGCCCTCTAGCGAGGTATCCGGAGACATGCCCCATGTCCATCCATCGGTATGGGTCCCTGAATGGCTCCGCCAATATGATGATTGGATGTGCCATTCCTGATAGGTATCAGCTGGTGAGAGCGTCACCGAGATTCTCCCACATGCCCACTCAACTACGGGCCGGTGTATTTCTTCCCCGTTCACCGTCTTCTTTCCTACGTCGTTTCGGCCCTTTGGGGTGCTCGGGGTGGACATCGACGCTGCAAAAGATCGGATTAGTTCCCCGGGATCCATTCCTGACCACCACTCCTTGGTGCGGTTGACTGTGCGGTTGACTGTGCGAGCCATGGCCGTCCATCGATTTTGCTTGGGGGCTTGGTACAACAATTGATGAATGGAATAGATGGTCTCGAGGCCCGGTCCTCTGACTGAGGGGAAGCTCAATCGGAGATTCAAGTTAACACAGGGGCTTGAGGTCATGGCAAGGCACATGAAAGGAAGAGCAAGGAGGTGGCTTGATGGGTCATTGCTTGGCTTCCTCTCAGAGACTTTCACATGCCACGATCGGGCGGGGGCGGGGCTAGCTCGCTCTCCAACTTCCATGGGCCGGTGCTCGCGTTGCGCCTCCGTGGGGTGCTCTGTCAAAGCAGAGGGCACGCTAGCGCCAAGCCGACGAGCCCACTCCACTTGACGGGTTGGATGGATGGCTTGTCTCGAGTTTTCAGCGCCAAAACGACTGGCTTCAAGCCTAAAAACAAGCTGGCCAATTATTACCATTTTTTAGACTGATCAGTAACTGGTAGATCAGCGTCTTCTGTTCAGCCATTGGGCTAGCGGACCCTCAGACACAGAGAGGCATGCGAATTCTAGCTTTGCTCTTTTGCTCCTCGGAGAAATTGTCGGATGCAGTCGATTGTTCGCAGGTGTCCACTTCACCGGGGAAATTCTGGGATTACGAATTGGGGAGCTCGCCCCTGCCCCGCGTTATCCTAACCAATCAGAAAGGCTTCTCTCATGCACAGAGCTCGGCGGCCTTGCACCTGCCCATTTTTTCGCCATCCTCCCTTCCCCTTTTGTAGGCGCGGACTGTTCCTGCCGCATCTGCACCCCCAAACACGGCATGTGATGTCAATGGTTCAGGTTACCAGGATAATAAGTCGCGCAGCGGTGCACACAAAGTACATTTCCCCTCTTCTCCCCTCCCCGATATTACCATGAGGCTCCCCGTGCGGCCGACGATCTTCCGGTGTCACCTCCTCACTGGGTCGTCACCTTTCTCCCTCCTCTCGACCTCCGTCCCCCATCTCTGCTCCCTGGCCCCGACCTCAACTCCGACCTCGACTTCGACCTCCTCGACCGTACGGCCTCCCGAATAGCAACCAATCCGCCGCCGTGGCTCGCTCGTTGTAGCTTCTCCTGCAGGTGCTTCGCGCTTCTTTACCGCACCTGCCTTTGCTCCCCAGCCAAGAGTTCATTCCTTGCCTAGAAGTCACTCCAAGTTCATAGGCAGGCAGGAGAGCCGCTACGCGTCCACCATGGTTGGCGAACCAGAGCCAAAGAGGCAGCGCATTGAAGAGCTCCGGTCCAAAGAGCATCTGCCAGACGGCATCACAGAGACCGACGCAGAGCTTAAACACCACTGGTTTGTAGGAAGTATCGACCAAGGCACGACCTCAAGTCGTTTTCTCATCTTCAATGGCGCTGGCGACCCTGTTGCGAGCCATCAAATAGAATTTGAAAATCTGTATCCGGAATCTGGGTATGTCTCGGTTAGCCCCTCCACGCTGCCAATCAAGCGTGGATTTTGCCTTTGTGTGTGTTTCTTTCCTAGCACGCGCTAACATCCAGATAGGTGGCACGAACATGATCCTCACGAATTGCTCAAATCTGTCGAGGAGTGCATCAAGGGTGCGGTAGACAAGTTTACAGAGTCGGGTTACAAGCTGTCTCAAATCAAATCCGTGGGCATCACGAACCAGCGCGAAACCACAGTGGTCTGGGACAAGAACACTGGCGAACCTCTGCACCATGCCGTCGTCTGGCCCGATACCCGTACGACGAGTTTGGTGCGGGAGCTCCGGAACAAGGAGGGCGCCGACAAGCTACTGGATCTCTGCGGTCTACCCTTATCGACCTACCCGTCCAGCGTCAAGCTCCTATGGCTCCTTGAAAATGTAGATGCGGTAAAGGAGGCCTATGAAGACGGCCGGCTAGCATTTGGAACCGTGGATTCTTGGCTCATCTACAAGCTGAATGGCGGCGCCGAAAGGGAAGGCGGAGGCATCCATGTCACGGATGCCACGAATGCCAGCCGGACCATGTTTATGAATCTCCGGACCCTAAAGTACGACGACCAACTCCTCGACTTCTTTGGTATCGACAAGTCCAAAATAGCCCTTCCCCAGATTGTCCCTTCCTCGGACGCCGAGGCCTTTGGCAAGTTTGTTTCGGGCCCTCTCCAAGGCGTTCCTATCGCTGGCTGCCTCGGGGACCAGTCATCAGCGCTCGTCGGCCAATGTGGTTTCCAGCCCGGCCAAGCCAAGAACACATATGGTACCGGTTGCTTCCTCCTTTACAATGTCGGAACGGAGCCCGTAATTTCCAAGTCTGGTCTCTTAGCCACCGTCGCGTATGATTTTGGCAGGGGAAGAAAGCCCGTTTATGCCCTCGAGGGCAGCATCGCCGTTGCCGGCGCAGGCGTAAAATTTCTCTCCACAAACCTAGGTTTCGCTGAAGACGCCGTCCAGGCCGCCGAACTAGCGGAAACGGTAGAGAACAACGGAGGCGTCTTTTTTGTTACCGCCTTCAGCGGTCTCTTTGCGCCCTATTGGATCGATGATGCCAAGGGCACCCTGTGTAAGTTACTATTGCCTGTACTCCCAACGCGTTCGATCACCTGGTCCTCTCCGTGATTCACGGTGAAACCCCTGATTGCGTCACCACCCTCCCACCACCGTCCATGCCTGCCCTCGCTGAGCCCACATCTCCTTTTTCCACCGGTGCCCCAGCATCAGCTAACCGAGACCTCTCAGTTGGTCTTACCCAGCACACCCAGAAGGGCCACATAGCCCGCGCTACCCTCGAGGCTACATGCTACCAGACCAAGGCAATTCTCGATGCCATGGCCCTCGACTCGGGACACGCCCTCGAATCCCTCTCTGTCGACGGTGGCCTTTCCAACTCTGACCTCTGCATGCAAACCCAAGCCGATGTCAGCGGTATTCCCGTCGTCCGCCCCGCCATGCGTGAAACCACCGCCCTCGGCGCTGCCATTGCCGCTGGCTTAGCCACTGGCGTTTGGAACGAGCTTGAGGACCTGGGCGACGTCAATCGAAACGGCCGTAAAATTTTGAGCCTCTCCTCGCCGAGACCGAAAGGGAGCGACTGTACGCCAAGTGGCAGCAAGCCGTTGAGATGAGCCGAGGATGGGTCAATGTCGATGAGGAGTAAGGCTGAATATGGCCTGAGGCATCACTTTGGGGGTGAGCATGTGGTTGCTTTTGTTCACGATACCCCTCGTCACCTCACCTCCCCCTCCCACCAAAAAATGCAAGCCGTTTCAAACAGTTGCAGCGCCTACCACTGCGGCCGTTTTCGTCATTATAAGTTGTACATCACAAGGAGTTTTGGGCTTATGGATACAATACCCTCCCTATCTAGGGTTTTTGAGCGTTCGCGCAATTCTCACATTGAGGTAGAGGAGTGTCTAGATTTTGAAGGATTACCAGATGATAGAAGAAAAGAACAGCAACCAGACGCTGTCTATAATTATGTACTTGTATGAGCTAATACTACCATTTAAACTATCTTTGAACTACGTGTATTCTTGAGCACCCCAATCCCATTTTACCAACAACACACCCACCACCACAGTTCCCATCAAAGACGAGGAGGTCGACAAAGGAACAGGGCTGTTCAAATGTACACTATCAGCTACAAGATGAATACTGCAGAGATGCTTTGTATAGCTGTCCTGAAAGCAAGACTTCTATTAGATCAAGTTTCTTTTGGATTCATTTCCTCTATAGACGGCAAGCGATCTTCTTTAGACAAGACAGCGACAGGAAAACAAAACAGGCCGTGTGTTGGAAAAAGAAGAAGCAAAAAGAATCAAGAGCCGCTCAAGATGTCTTCCATCAAACCCTGCAAATCTTCTTCACCCCATTTTTTGTGTTAAGAAATAGACAAGACTTGCGTCGCCACATATCCCCCACCTCCATGCAAAAACCGTCCTCGCCTCCAATGTGTTCCCTTCGCGCCATGCGTTGCCTCTTCCTTTACCATTCCTGCCCCGACTCCCTTGACGCATGCATGCACAGTGTAGAGAGCAGTGTTGACTTCGATTTCGAACTCCATACGCACTCAGAAGAAAAGAATAAAACAAAGCTTGGGAGAAATGCACATTTCGAATGGCCCACCACAAGATCAGAAGGATTCACCCTCCATGGCAAACGGAAGGCGCATGATGAGGGAGAGCAGAGTATTGTAATGAATCGGCCGTCGTTGAGCCTCGATCGACTTCGGAAGATAGGAGAAACGTTAAAAGGGGTAATAATACTATAGTGGAATTAAAGCAGGTAGAGAAAAAGATGTCGCAATTAAGACGGATGCGCGGGAATTCATTAAACCATAAAGGGTGTTTTGTTGTTGGTGGGCATTAAGTGATAAAGGGTGTTCTCGACCCAGCGCTTTCGCGCAGCGGAGTACATCCAAACTGCCGTCATTGCACCATGAAGCTGCGCGCACGAGACAGTTTACATGATGATGGCGGGGACATCGACGTTGGCCTTGATCGACTTGTGGGGAGGACGCTGCCACCGTTAACGTAGATCTCGTCGCCAATGGTAACGTCATCGCCGAGAACAGTTACGTTCTCAAGACGGGCCCACTTGCCGACCGTGCTGTTCCAGCCAACAATCGTGCTCTTGACCCAGGCATGGTCCTTGACCTTGGATCCTCGGAGGAGGACACAGCGTTGGAGCCTTACGCCGTCGCCAACAACAACACCGGGACCAATGGTGACATTGGGACCGATACGGCAATCTTTGCCAATCTTGGCGGAGGGGTCAATCAAGACGTTGCCGCCGTGGACGTACGACTCCGAGGGGGCGTGAGAAGCTTGGAGTTCCTCTTGGTGAGGGAGGAGAGATAAAGGCAGGTACCAGTGAGGAAGTCCTTGGGCTGACCGACATCCATCCAGAAACCGTCCAGGTCAAAGGAGTGGAGGTGGCCGTCGTTCACCATAGCGGGGAAGACTTCCTTCTCGATCGAGGTAGGACGGAGCTCAATCCTGTCAAGGACCGAGGTATTGAGGATATACATGCCGGCGTTGATTCGGTTGCCGACAAACTCGACGGGCTTCTCGACAAAGCGGTCGATGAGGGAGGCGTGGCCAGGCTTGTGAACAACGACACCGTACTTGGAAGGCTCCTCAACCTTGGTGACAACAATGGTACCTTCCTTTCCATGGCTCTTGTGGAACTCAGCAAGATCCTTGAAGGGGAAGTCGCAAATCACATCGGAGTTGAGGACAAAGAAGGGCTCGTCATCCTTGGCGAGGGTCTTTTCGGCAAGCTTGAGAGGACCGGCAGTGTCAAGGGGCTCATTCTCGATGGAGAAGGTGATATTGACACCGTACTCCTTTCCGTACTGTGAAGGGGTGAGAAATCCAGATTAGCGGTCAGTCAGGTCAAAGAGGGGGCGAGACAAAAACAAGTGTGGATTGCAAGCAATTGTACAATCGGGGCTGTCTTCTTTTATTTTGCACTTACCTGGGCAAGGCGCTCCTCCATAACCTCGGGCCGGTAGTTGACGGCCAGGACAATGTCCGTGACGCCGGCCTCGGCGAGGGCCTCAATCTGATGGAGAATCATGGGCCGGTTGCAGAATTCAACAAGGGGCTTGGGGAGGGTGAGAGTCTGGGATAACGGCCGATTCGTCAGTAAAACCGACATGGATAGCCGAGGCTTCGTTCAGAGCGAATCCATAGGCAGTAATTGCCTTGATTCGAGAGCTCTTGGGACGGTGCGGGATCTGGGGTCGCTGCTACGTACGAGAGGTCGAAGACGGGTGCCGAAGCCGCCAACAAGAATTAAAGCTGCATAGCTTGTTAGCCGCCGAAAACCAGGTCATTGCAAGTGTCGACGTCCGAACATGCAACTTACCCTTCATCTTTGCGGTTGTATGGGTGGGAAGAAAATAAGGATTATTCGGAGGACGGGTGTTGAATCAACAATGTCGAGATGGGAAGAGGTTTAAGTTGGAGGGGGAGAAAGGAAGGTTTTGGGTTCTCGAGAACGGCAGGTTGGAAGGTGGGGCACGGGGGCTAGAGGATCGCCAGAGGGAATAGTCAGGTAGTTGCGGTGCAGGAGCAGCAGCAGCAAAGAAAATTGTTGGCCAAAGTGTATACAGCACGTCAAAAAAGGCTTGATTCAGAAGCTTGCATGCAGCAAGGTTCAAATGTAACAAGTACTCAGTGTACCTAGGAGAATTGTTGAGAGAAACACACAAGGTCAGGGAAAGAAAGAAGGAAAAACCGAAAAGGAACAAAAAGGAGGACGATAGACTGGCAAGCAGGCCTTTTGAGTTTTTTTCTCCTTCAATGTTCTTTCCTTTTCTCTTTCAGGTCCATCCCTTTTCGCCTTCCTGAAGGGGGAGGGGGTCTCCCTCGCTATGTCCTCCCAAGCTTTGCCTCGTGCTCGAATTTCCTTTTTCTAGTCATTTGGGGGTAATGCCGGCGCAGCCTGTTCCCCAGTACTCCGTACAACAGCAACCCAGGTCGGTGTCTAGGTGTTACGATGTCACAGAGGTGATGGCCAACACGAGCTATGGTCAGGGGTCGGCGGGCCCTGCAAGGAAGTCTACCAAGATAGCGCCACTGTCAAAAGTATCGACCCCGTACAAAAGCAGATCTATTGATCCAGTCCATTGATTTGGTCCATATCCGCCTTGAGCTGGATCCAGTTTTCGGCCGGAGGTATTCGATGTCTAGCCCAGTATTGCCATTCGCTAATTCAACCTCGAGGTACCTGTCTCGACTCAGGGTCCGGCTTCCTCTTTAATTTGCCAGGTACCACCCGAAGCCAAAGAGCCACAAGTGCTACTTGGACATAGATCCATCTGTGGGAAGGAGCTCAACCTGTCATTTGCACTCTCTCGACCGCTCCTTTTGGGTGATGATTCACGCACACCCACTCAAACACATCCCAAGCTCCAGTGCTCCGATGCTGTACTCCCTCATTCTGATACTTCACAGCCACGAGCGATCTGAAACGCAGATTTGCTCGATTCACCCACGAGATGGGCGAACTCTCCCCTCCAGTGCTGTTCGTGCTCCTGCAGCAGGCGGCCCGATCATGCCCTCCAGTCAGAAGTGGGTGTTGAGGCGCGCATCGCCCAGCTGGCGGTCCACAAGGGGTAAATACTTGTCTGGTTGGAAACTTGCACCGATGGAATATTATGGAGTAATATCTATTTTGAACATTATGGGAAACCCCTCCTCTCCAGTCCTGCTGCGACAGGGGAGAAAGGGGGAAGAGCAGCCCCCAAAGAGCTAGAATGAATTGGGGCTGAGTTTCGAAAGAAAGAAGCCGCGTAGTCCAAAGTGTGAAAGCGTGTGGGAGGTGCAACGGACGGATCGCCAATCACAGCAGCTCGTGCCCGGTAGTGTGGTTCCTCCTCCCCGAACCAGAACGTGGGCTCAAATTTCCCAGTGGGAAATTTGAGAGGAGCAAAGAAAGGAGAAGACGCCAATTGATCCATTATCGCGACCCATTTCTCGTCAAGTGAGCAACAGCAATTGATGCTGTTCCCTGGTGCGCCGCCCCTCCCCTGGACCTTTGACGCGGCCCTGTCGCCCCCAAGACACATCACTTCGCGAATCCTTGATTTCCTGGCAGCTGATCAACGGGGCAATGGAATTTTGGCTTATGTGGCCTTTTTAGATAGGATCCGCCCTAGGCCTGGTGCCATCGTCAATCCCGTGAATCCACATCTCTGTCCATGTGAGTACGGTGCCCCCGCGAACCCTTTTTTGTCTTTTTTCCCGGGAGTCAAAGGACGCCTGCCAAATCCGGATTGCCAGGCCATCTCATCCTAGACCATGTGTCTTCCAGCGATCCCACATCCCGCGATTGCGATGGCGAATCCATGGCAACACGCCTCCCGTGCGGGTGGTGAAATCACCCAATTTATTTCCGTTAATATACGATCCCCGTATCGGGGATTTCGATATCGTGAGCGAATGACCCTCGGGTATTACTCCACCACGCCAATACTTTTAGGTGATACGAACCACTGGCCACCAGCCTTCGCAACTACTTGTAGAGAATCATGCTCTCAACATCCTGTGATCATCCCACCAATACCGCGCAGATATTATGTACTGTATGCAGTATACGCCGCCGCCACCTTTCCCCATTCTCGCCAAGGTCTAGTATCACAAGTATCAGAATGGGGGCAGGGGAAAAGGGAGGGAGAAACCAAAGGGGTGGCCAAGAGGAAGGGTGCAAAACGAAAAAGAAAGAAAAAGAAAATTACTCCGTCCTCCCAAGCTTGTCATGTGGCCCTTTGAGGGGACTACAAAGTAGAAACTAGAAGCCACCAACCCGTTTTGAGATCAGACCCCTATTCCCAGCCCGACCCAATCTCGACGACTGGGGTTCTGGCAGACTAATGAGAACATTGAATCACCACCTATGTATGTATGTATTGATGAAGGCTTCCAGATCGGACTATATTTCCTGGAGCCATCGTTTCGGTAAGGGACTCCCGAGCGACATGCTATTGATTTTTCAACGTCCCAAACCAGCCTGTAAAAAGAGCATCAATCAATTTGCCGCACCTTCTTCGAATTGTGTATTAGACCATGAGCTGAAAATAACAGCTGTGGAGACACCCCTCGCCGGCAGTCAACCATGTCAAGTACCAATATGCAGGGTTGGCTTGTGTGGATGAGAGATTGATGTCCTTACAACCGCATCGTCGCCGCCGCCCGTCCTACCGAAGAACCGCCACCGTCACGGAGCGTTTCATTGCCAACAGGTGACTTTGCCTCATCCCACACCTTCCCATGCGCCAACTTACACGCGAGTAATGCGCAAGTGCGGGAGCTACGAAAGATAATTCAAAAGAAAATGAAGAAGAAGAAGAAGAAAAAAAAAAAAAAGAGGGTCGCGTTTGATTTTTTTCCTCCCTGACAACCTGGAGGGTCAAAAGACCGAAGTGGGTTCCCAAACCTTGACTTTGATACATAGACGTGTGTTTTGGCCACGATGGTCCAGCTTGACTCGGGTTTATTCTTAGCCAGGGTGGGTCGAAAAAGAAACGCCTTTCAAGTCGAACTTCATCATCTTGTGGCGACGCCTCAGTGGGGGCGTCAAGTTTGCAAAGGCCGCAAAAGTCAAACAAAGATGTCGACCCACCGAGGAGGGAGAGTTCCGGATTCAAAAACACACGCAGTCCCCTTTCGAACCTCCCGGGATCCATTCTTCCCCGGTCGGTATTGCGCCACCTCGTCAGGGGTTTGTGATGAGGGCGGTGATCACCAGACCTGGTGCTTGCCCGGCCGCAATTACACATCGACTTCGGTCAACAACGGCCAGCCTGGCCAAAAGTTCGATGCTCTCCATCAGACCCCGACAACACGGGAAATATTCGTCAGGGGCAACGGATTGCTCGCCCGAGCATGTGTGTGCGGAGGATCACAGCAGTCGGAGCGGAGAGGATGTTACTCGTGCAACGAAGATTGATTTAGAGGTCAAAACGCGAGACGAAAATAGATTCGTCTGATGTCCAGAAAGAAGAGAGTCAAACATCGTCATGGCCTACACTTGGGAGAAACGAAGCTCCTCTCCCTGATACAATCAAAGATGCACAGTCATTTCCCCGCGCTCGGCACGTTTCTATAGTGCTGCGTATCAGACAGGTATCACCACATCTGCACGTCCTATGAAGAGGCTGAGATCCGATGAGCCGCCCAGACTCAATCATTCAGACTGCGCGTCCCGTCTCGTCCTTTTCAGCTATCCCAGGACTGATTCGTCTGTTAAGAGTCGTCGGCCCCGTATCCTGCTGCTCGCGTAGGCAAAGACTAGATGATTCAGAAACATTTCAACTCGGACTCATGGGAAACGCGTGTCAAGGCTGCAAGACATTGATCTCAAATCCGCATTTCAGCTTTCATTGCCTGAGGCAGAAGAAAGGCGTGACCTTTGTGTGACTCGAGTTTCAACTTCACTTGATTCCAACTCGTTTCCGAATCACGCGAAAGCTCCCACTTCCTGCTTCTCCCTCCCAAAAACACATCGCGTCCACACATTTCCGTAGTTTCCATCATGAGCCCCAAGTCATCCCTCTTCAGAGACGAATTTCGCCGGGCTACTCACGGGGAAGCTTGTGACATGGTCAAGAGTTCTTGCCCGCGCCCACCCACTTTCCTTTTTCAAGACGTAGAACGCGGAGAGAGAAATGCCGTGCTTATCATCGACAAGCTTCGAGGGAGGACAAGAGAAGCGGAGAAAATGATAGGAAACCATAAGAATCATGATCATAACTGTCGTAAGGGCTAACTAAATGTTCAGCAGTAGATACGAGAAGATGCTAAACTGGACATCAAGAGTTCATCGTCAAATCATCCTCACCGCCCAATCCAATTCGTGAATGCCAATTTTGTGTGTTCGAAGTTGACCCCCAATGCGAGAACAGAAAGCAAAAGTTGCGAAGAGGCCTGGCTAGGATAGATCTATGCCGAGCAGGTCCGCTGTTTCGCTTCATGAAAAAGAAAAACATGACGGGTGATCTGACGAGAGATGCTTTTCGATCGCATCAATCACCGTCACCCTTTGGTCCAGATCACCGAGGAAAGCGCCCGGGTAATGGCCACCGAATCCGTCCCTTTCGTCGGCTGTCAACTGCGTATGCGTTCATAAAAACAAGGAAATTCGTTAAGGATGATTTCGACCCCATTCCAAAAGTATCCACATTAACCAAGTTCACCAACCCGGAGAGAACTCGGGATCGGAATTGGATGCTGCTCCCTCACTCGTCGTTCCGGCAGCCCGGAAATTTCCATCCACAACCGCCCCCGTTGTAGGACAACCCCTTTCGTTGTCTCGTTGGAGAGAGAATAAGTGAAAAAGACGCCGTAAAGAAAAGACGGGCAAGAAAGAAAGACAAGAGGAAAAACGAATAAGGCAAGTTTGAAGGCCCCTGTTAGTTCCACACAGCCTCCCGACTTGTGTTGAAGCGCACGGCAGGTAAACTTGTCCAGCGACGTCCCAGAGCATCAAGTGTGCTCCAAACCGAGAGTCGAGACCAAAAGCTCTATTCCGGAACTGGTAATCCAAAGGAAAATATATAGGGTTCTGTGAGGCAGAAGACACCTAGGATGGATTGAACGTCCGTTCTAAGAGAAAAAGAAAAAGAAAAGCAAAAATGAGGTGAAATATAAGGCATAATGCGATAAAATGAACCCATTGGTCGAACCCATGAGGCCGTCAGATCATTTCTAAGTCGTGAAGGTCGTTAAAATCGTTTCGTGAAGAAATCCGAGATAAAAGAGAAAGAAGCAGAGGCCCGTTGAAGAGAAAAAAAAGCGCCAATAAACAAGATGCGATAACGTCTTCCTTTTGTTTGTTTTGGGGTTTCGAGAGGATCTCGTTCACACCAACCGGCCTGTTCTCCCTGTCGTAAACAAGGAGAAATCTTCCTCCCAAGCGCAAAAACATGGCCTACGGTGTGATGCTATGTGCGGAGACTTTTTCTTTATAAAGGGCATGTCGTGTTTGTTTTTTTCGAGGGTGTTTTGGGTATATCCCTAGGGGAATGGTGCTGTGAAGCCCGTTGAACGTTTATATCTGCGCCGTTCGCTATACTCTTTGCATTGCAGAGTTCCAAACCGTCTCCGGAAATGTGCCGACATTGTTGTATGGTTGTATGGCTGCTGCCGAGGCGTCCAAGGTCGTCAAAACGGATCATGAATAGAAAAACCAACAAGGAGAGATTTCCGCCACTGTTCCGTGTCCTCAGCGCACGGCTCCGTCGTTCCTGGTATTACCGTTTTCTTCTTTTTGCCCGAAAGAGCACTCTACTCAAAGGACGCGGTCGAACTGCTACTGGAATGGTGTCCGGAACGCCGGCCGTGACCGCCGTTGGGGTTAGGAGTTCGGCTGGAGGAGTTGTGATGGCTTCCCTTCCGGTGGCGGCGGCTCGATTCGTTGGCAGGCAGTCCCTGCACGATGCCGTTTCGAACAATCATTCCGCCGTTGACAGAAAAGTTCCGGCAGACCATAAAGGCACGCATGGCGGCATTTTCCTGGGCGAGGATATCCGACTCGTACGCAAGATCCGTCTGATACTCCCTGCCGTTCACAAGGACGTGGCAGGTGTAGCCGCTCGAGCTACGGTAGCATTCGTACATGGGGTCTCCCCATCCACGACGGCGGCAAAGACCTGGGAGAAGAATGGGCGTTAGTTTCTAGTTGGCCAATTTTCTGCTTTCCGCGCAGATGAGACGCGCGCTTGTGCATCTCACGACCCCGGCCGAAGACAAGGCATGGTTGATGCAGGATCATCGTAGGCCGGTCCCTTCAGTGCTCATACACCCAACGGCGCGCTGTAGACCTGCATGGGAGCCTAAGATGGCTGGCCCAACTCGCTTCCCCGGAGTGTTCAACCTCGTATCCCATGAGATCATGCCCGTTGGGTGATCTTAATAGCCTCGGAGAGGCCTGATCCGGTGAGATAGGAGTGAACAGCCCAAACGCAGGGTGGCCGTTTCTCGATCCGTGCCCAACTTGTCCGGAAGCATAATTTCAGCAGGCAGGCCTCTACATTTGTAAAGTTTCACTAGGAAACTAGACACAGGCGCAAGGCGTCAAGAGATGGGGCAACAAGCCTCCAATCTTCAAGGCCGTGTGAGGAGGGGCTCCGTTGAGGAGTCCAATCCAAGTGAAGATAGTAGTGGAGCACGGGCCAAAACAGCACAAATGCGAGGACCCCCACGCAGGCAATTCGCAAATTTACATCAATTGAACAACTTACTTTCCAAGTACTGGATATAGAAGCCTCGCATTGTGATCGTTGGGCGTCAATGGCACGACCTTGTTGGGTGGCTGGCCAAAAGGGCGGAAGAGGAAGAAGAAAAATAAGAATAATAAGGGTACTCCGTGGAAGCGGGCCCGGGATACGGATAACCTCGCTCGAGAAGGGGCAAGGCAACCTCTAGAACAAACAGGGGTTCTAACCAGGAGGGACAGCAAACGTGACGAGAGAATTGGTGGCTTCCGGGTGCCGAGCGGTATATGCCGGCGAGGTGCTCAAGACTTCCTGCGGTGTCGAGCTGGAGATGCAGCCAAACCCAACGTGAGGCAGCAATGTGTTAAACTATTTTCGGGCAACCGGAGCGGAGGGGTGGTGGCCACAAAAGGGTATAAAGATGTAGTCGAGAGGGCGGAGCGCACACCGGTGACAAGAACAAGAGCAGCAGGAGCAGGAGCAGTAGCAGGCAGAACAACGGGATGTAACTTTTGAAGAGGGGCAGGAGGATAAAAATAAAGAAGGAAGAAGAAGAAAAACAAGGAAGTGGAGATATGTCGAGGTGAGACAGGGAAGGTAGGTCTCAAAAGAAGAAAAGAGCTCGAGAAAGAAGCGTGGAGGGAAGAGAACGTGGAACGAGGAATATTTGAGGTGAGGGTTCAAGTGTCTTTTGATTCAGCTCTTGGGCCCTCGCTTTTCTACAAATCTGAATTCCGCTTGCGCCGTTGCTTTGGACCAATGTTCGTTGTCCTCCTTGCCGGATCGGAAGGGAAACAGAAAAAAAGAGAGGAAAAAAAAAAAACACTGGCAGGTAAAATAAGGGCAGGGGAATTGGGGGAAGTTGAAGCAGAGTGGTGGTGCTAAAGTAATGGCTCCTGGTAGGGGTATGTCGAAATCTTGTTATTAAACCCTCTACTCTTGTACTTGTCCACTACGTACACTACCCAGCTCGAGAGTGCAGTAACCCCCTCCCTCCAAGGCACATTGAATCCATTCGATTGCCCCCGGTTCCAATTGACGTTTTGTGGCCTCACTCGGCTCCCCTCTCCTCCAAAGGGTCCAAAGGGCCAGCCCACAGCCCACGAGTTGGGACCGGTTTGCAGTCATAAAAGCTACAAACAGTTGGGACAAGAGCAAGTCCAGTCCAGTCAACGTGAGAGGGGCAACGGCGAATTGATGTGCGCGCTATTGTTAGTGCGGGGCCACGGCACGGGGTGTGCGTTTGGGAAACCCTTCGTGCAAAGGTTCACCTCTTGTACTCGACTCGTCGTCGTGGAGGAGTTGATTCCCATGCCAGATCATTTCCACCATGCCATGCCCCCGACTTCCACTCCTCCACTGGCCAGCAGGCATTAATTGATATGTACAATGAAATGACATTGATGCAGACTTTGGTGGGAACCGATGCTGCGAGGCCCATCGGCCGGCCAGGGCCACAGCCATAGCCAGCATAATAATATTACCCAGTCCTCTCCAGAGTACATCCAGTCCCTCCAAAGACAGCATGGCATGGCATGGGGCATGGGGCAAGGCCCGCGCACGCGCCAGAAGGATGAGCCAGCCGAGTAGGTTTCCATGGGTTCTGGCGGTCGGTCGGGAGGTTGGTCAGTGCAGGAGGGTTTGACGTACAGTAACCTACAGGCCCAGGGTCCCCCTTCCACTTCAGTTCAACCTCGTTGGACCTCAAGTGCTCCTTATCCCGTTCACCTCCGGGTTGATAAGTCCGTCTGAACTGCAACAGCCAGCAGGGGAACCCGGCCAGGGTCTTGGAACCCCCGTTTTTCGGGGTTTCGAGCAGCCGAGAAGAAGAAGAAAAAAAAATGAATAATAGCAATGGGGAAACAGCCCACAGGTCGAAACTGCGGCTCCTCGAAGATGTAGATACACCCACTGTACATGGAGAGTGTGACCCATACCTGATGTGTTGGCTCGTGTCGTTGCCAGTTGATAGAGAAGCGGTCCCATTTTAGTCTAGCCGCCAAACTCCACCCCATGGAATACAGAGCCGGTCCATTTTTTCTTCCTTTTCCTTTCTTTTCTATTACCCTTAATTTTTTCTAGACTCTCACCTTTTTCTCCTCGTTTGCTCTGTAAAGAGGGGGAAGGGGGGAGGAGAGGAGAGGGGGAGGGGTGGCGGCACAAAAACCACGATCCCCAATGACCGCAGCGTCCCGATAGAGTGTCCCGAGGATACACGTAAGTATGTACATGCGAGGAGAGCTCGATGAAGCCGGATGGGGCAAGGGAGCCGCTGAAGAGTTCGTGGCCGGCGGATGAAACGAGGGAATGTGGGCAAACGTGCAATGTGCTCCTCTCTCCTCGTGTGTTGCGAGTCTGGGTAGAGAGGCGGCGGCCCTGCGGCGGCAGATGAATCAACAACCCACATTAGGTGATGCGCGAGGGTTCAGACTTGTGCTGTCGACGCCGCCGACGCCGCCGGCGAAGGGTAAAGGGGAAAAAAACACACATCCATCCCTAGCCCGGAGAGGTTGTCAAGGGATCAATTGCTTCCGACCCAAGGGACCCGGCACCCGCGCACTCAACTCCAACTGAGCTGTGTTAGCGATTGTATTTCATTACTGAGACTGATACCGAGATTCGGCTCACAACCAAACAAGAGCTGCTATTCGTGTTCTCGTCTTCTTCGAGAATATAACGGGACCGCCGGGGCCATTTCTTTGCCCCTCGGAGAAGTTTCGAGACGGGGTTGGCGATGTTCCTATCACTGATACAGCTAGTCAAACCTCTCCATCCAGATCGCCCCGAACTCGCCCCATTCACGACCACATATCCCTTGCGCTGCAGGGAGAATTTTAGGACGGGCATGATATCCTTGGCCAGTGCCTACGCATCTACCTCCTGTTGCCCCCAATACGCAAGGCTCTGCATGGTACCAGAGGTGTATCTGCTGTTGTACGGGGTCTGTTCTTTCTGCAAGTCACTTCGAATGGACATCGTTCTTGCCCTTTCTCGAAATAAGCGTGGCGCCTGTATATGCAGAGTCCAGGCATAGTGATGTGGCAAAATGGAACCATCGAGACGAGCCAATCTCCGCCTATTTACAGGCAAGGACAAATACTTTGATGAGGTGTACCTTGTTTTCATTTTTGGCTCGCTTTTTTTTTTTTTTTTTCTGTTGTTTTTTTCTTTCTTTCTTCAACCCCCTCGCTGATCATGCTATGCACCGATATTTCACTACGAACAAGGACAGAACCCGAGGGACCAGTGGGAAACCACCCTGGGCACTGCGCTAGGGGCGATCGATCCGCACCGTTTCCATTTGCAGTAAAAGAGCTGAGGCTCCGAGATCATGTTCTTCTTCAAATCGTATCTTCTTGTTTTTTAGCCTCCTCACGAACTCTATCGTTGCCTCGAAGCGCCCAAACATTCGTCTCGTGAGGACGTCAGGACGTCAGGACGTTCCAGCGAGCGTGTCGAGGTGAGTGATGGAGCCTGCAATTGGTTTCTTGAGGATCGTTGGCGCCGGGTCCGTTGCCCACTCTGATCTTTTGGTTGGAGTTAGTGCAATCTTCCTTCTTCCAAACATCGGATTAGCTTCGCTCAATGGAAATCACCCGCACCGCGAAACAGTGTAATACGGGTTTGTGGGGTAACGATATTGATATCCCCACTTTACCACCCCCAACCGTACCACCGAGGTACATCATCAATGATGGATCAATCCCTTGTGGGTGCAATGCATGCAAGGCAGGGCTTGACTATAATGGTTTTTTGAGGTCCAGCAGCTATTACACAAAAAGTAACTCCAGGTCGACACTTCCTGACAACACCTTGAGGAAATCCCCTCTTTTTGCGATATAATATTACGACATGGAAGGCGAAAGGGGCATCACAATCAAGTCTCCTGCGTGCCGTCGAACAGCGTGTCTGCAAGGCAAAAGGAGATGATGATCGGTCCTGGAAAATATCCAGAGGTTGTGCCGTGCTGCCTCCTTCTGGGTGTGGAGGGGAGATGTGGGCCTGCGATCCTTCAATGAATGGGAAAACAAGCACATAAACTCGAGGCTTGTTTTCTTTTTTTCTTTTTGGGTTCTTCTTCTATCGCTACGTGAGGGTAAGGGGAGGGGCACGCCTTGGGAGAGAATCCGCGGCCCGTATAAACCAATCTCCAAGTTTTAGAGTCAGTTGAGGGCGAGATCCAATTTCCTAAAACAGTTGACAGCACTCTGTTATGGGTGAAGCTGGATAGCGGATGGATAACCGCCGCCAAATTACGTGCAGTTTGATGTGCCCGGAAGAAGTCCCAAGACTTCAATGTTGGTGGTTGGAGGGACTCAAGATCATCAAGTGGAGAGCGGCCACCGCTTCCGGCGACCCTTCACCGGTATGAGGTGGCAAGTTTGATGAGCAAACTGTGCATCAGCTTGGAAACGGCCAAAGGGTAAAAGTCTTCAAATTGGACGAGCTTCATTCTTCAACAGCAAACCAGACATGGCCTCTCCCGAGGTACTCGCTGGTAGAATCGGCCACGTTTTGTGGCTGGCAAGGGAGCTCCATCACTGGGCGATTCGCGATGCTGTGCTCCAATTGAGAGGGTGCGCGGCACAGAGGCGCCAAGGCAGTGGCGACAAATCAGAGGCCGTCTACCAAAAACCAAAACCAAAACTACTCAGAACACTCCCAAAATAAAATAAAAAAAAAAAGGTGGCCAGGGCAGGGGTATATCACGGTGATTCGGTTCGTGGCCTTCCACACACTCTGATTAGCCCTGATCCCTTGAGACCGGGCGGCCACAACGGCGAACAGGCTAAGAGGGTCACAGAAGACGATGAAGAGTGGCAGTGATTGGTAAAGAGCTATCAAATGGGGCAGGTGAGTGAGACGCCAATGGACCGGAATCGGCGCCTGGTGCTCGGAATGAGCAATCCCACAGCTCGATCCCCAGGACTTCGAGTATTCTCTGTGTGGCCCAGCCTAGCCAATATGCAAACCATCCATCTCTTGGGGCAAGAGTGGGGGAGGGGACCCAAAAATGCCGGCGGTGGAAGTTGGACGGCCTTTTACTGGTTGTTGGGGACCCTCTGAAGGTCGGTGAAGGAGAGGCAAATGGATGGCCCCGATGGCGACGCCGAAGAGGGAGAGCGAAGACGACGAAAAAGACTACCCTGCACATGATTCTGGAAAGAAACTTAGCTCAAGACGTCAATGTTGGAGCAGTCAATTGGCCGGGGGCCGTTCCAGACCAAGCGATGATTGAACGGATGAGATCGACTAGAGAGTTCTTGTAACTCGTCAAGTGTTCTCATATCGTGGGGTTTGCTCCGACTCTTTTCTTCGACCGCTTTAAAGCAGCAAAAGAGCCGGTTGAGCAATGTTCAATGCAACAGGCAGGCAAGCCTGCCCCCAGCGAGCCAGTTGCAAGCGCCGGCGCGAGGATATCGACACCCCAGTCGAGGTTAGGTACAGCTCCTGTACCGTGCAGGCTCTTTGGCCATGGCCATGGCCGTTGTTATAATATCCTCCGAGAGCAACACGGCGGGGTGCGCGGGGACCATTGTTCGAGGCGAAAACAGGAAATCTCCACAGACAACATTCCAAGCTAGATCGGACGGTGAATGGGCGGATGGACCAGACCAGCCCCCTCTTTGAAAAATTGTGAGGGGCAAAAGGAGGGGGAGAAGGCGAGGGATTGGGCGGTTTCACCAAATAGCAGCGGCGAGGACAACATAGACGGCCTTTGGGGGCACGGAAGTCTTGACATTCTCATGCAATGATGAGTTGGCAATGCTGCTGCTCAAATTAACGCGACCCTAGGGCAGAGGCGAGGAAGAAGAAACTTGCGCCGAGCCGAGAACGAACCACTCGACAAGAGCCCTCTCCCACCCGGCAGGCGCCAACCACAATCATCCATTTTCACCCCAGATACAATGGATGATTCACCCCATTGCCAAACAATGAACAGGAGTACTCTGTCACGGTGTCACATTGTCGTTGGCGATCGGAGCACGCGTGTGGGATGTTTTGATCGTGAGAAGAGAGGAGCCTGCTGGCCCGCGCAAGTGTGCCCTTGTAAGCCGTTACATCGGAAAACCAATCCGAAATGTCATCGATGCATGTTTGGAGATGGGGCATACAGAACAAAAAGACGAAGTGAAGAGAAAAAAAAAAAAAAGGAGTGGCTCGTTCTGTTGACAGCGGAACGACCCACCCACCCCTACATACGAAGCAGGATAATAGATGGCGATAATAGTTCTAAGGTTGGCCTTCTTTTTTTTTTTTTTTTTTGGTGTTTAGCAAGCGAGAAACGATTAAGGGAAGCAATAGGCGATCGTAGACCCTATGCTCTCGACAAAGATGAAAAACTCATTTCTTCATCCTGGTTGATACTAGATTGGTCATTTGGAATAAACGGGGCCTCAAATTCTGTGGTAGCGCCACGACAACGACGTCGTGAGTAAAGACAGCGTGTGGGAGAAAGGAGGTACAGGAGGAAGAAAATGGCTTCAACTCTGTTCTACATCTATACGTGACATGCAAATTTCTTCCAGATCAATGCTCATTTCCAGTCGGCGGCAACATCCCTCCGCCCCCACGGCGATGCTTGACAGCAAGGTGAAGACGCACGCCTAAATGAACCCGCCCCCTTGCCGGGTTTTAACGAGATCCTAGGAAAAGTACCAGACCCGAGTCGGGGCGGGGTCCTCGGACCTATGGCATCCCGCATCCCTATCGGTGGAGAACGCAGGGGAAAGAGTCATGGCACCTTCCTAGATTCAACTGCCCCTGTCACAACGCTGGCGAACGACTCGACACTCTGCCATTTGTAAGCCAATGGATGATAGTAGGACACACCGTCAAGTATGTGCGGAATATCCAGGACCTGTAGTGAAGCTAATAATACCACAGGAAGGAACGTTGGAGTTTCTTCGACGGAGTGCTCTCGCCCAGGTGAGTGCAAACCTGCCGAATGTGCCCATTGGTCCTTCCATGCCTATTTTTGTGCCTGGCAAGGGAGGCATGAATTTCCCGCCCCTCCTTGTTAGATTCCTGGCGTCGAATGCGCCGCTGCGGATGCGATACCCTTGAATTCACGTGTGTGACGTGTGACGTGATTCCAACTCGAAACTGAAATATGTTCTTCTTCGACTCGAAACAACGCCCGATATCCTGTTCCGTGCAGGGGAGAGACTCTCTGCTCCTTCAGGCCGGCCAGAGCCGTCTCAGGCGGAGTAGTCAGCATCTCTCGCTATGGGTGCCCGTTTGCCCGTGAAGCAGCTTGTTCAAAAGCTGCGATTTTATAGGGCAGCCTGTCGTCGAAAGCCTCATCGTCTAACAAAGTTCAACGATGGCCGGACAAGAGCCTCAACATCATCCCCGCTACTCGCGCATTCACTTCTCGAGTGACATGACCTCCCCTTCACTTTAAGAAGGCAATGGCCCGAGTCTATACCTCTCCTCGAGGTACAGATTATATGAAGAGACTATTGCCATCCAAGCTAGATTCCTACTCAAAGAGAAAAAGGAAAAAAGTGAAGCAACGCATGACGATAACCTACTTCGACTGAGGAAATGATATTACCTTGGCTCCCCAAGGAACTCTTTGACAAGTTCAATCAGTCTCCCCAGAGCCCTTTGATGTGCCGGCCGTAGAATGATGGCACCGTCGGTCACAGACGTGGCCCGGCCGGGCAATACTAGATTATACACGGACCTGGTATGGCGCAGGAGCAAACGAGTTTAATCGACAGCTTTAGAAACCAAGTGGGCGCATGCCTTGAATTCAACCTATGCTAGTATCTGGGTGCATTGGATGGTGGTCGAGTCCTACCTGGCATAAAGTCGCGGGGGTGCGCTTCAACGCCTCGTACATGGCTATCTAGTACCCATCACGATTGTTCCACTTTATGTTTGTTGTGTTTCTTGATACCTCTTATTTTTCCATTTTTGCCTATCCCTTGGTTCCGTATCGGAAACTAGAGTCTGGTGACAGACCAAAGTTACATGTGGCCTCACTTGAGGCCGCATGAGATCAACATGGCCCGATGGCGAGGCCAGCATCCCACCCTCCCCTCTTCCCCTGGGCCAGGGCCGAGTAGAAGCCAAGAGATACCGTCATCCATTCTTTATACCTCCTCCCAAGTTCTCACACTATCCCGTTCTCAGCCAGGAAACTATCTGATCCGACGCGCCACCCGACTCGTGGTCTCTGGACTAGGCCCGCCAGGGCCCCCTAAGGACGGTGTGGCGCCGAGAAACGGGTGGCCTTCTCCCGCCGATGCGTAGAAGGCACATATATCTTCATTCTGAGGTGGGATTGAGGGGCGGATTGGCTTCGCTGCCTTCAAAATGATCCCTGGATCGGCTAGTCCGATGATACTTAGATATCAACCGGGCCTCCGCTCCCCAAACCGCGTTCTTGTTGGCGACGCGGAGTGGCCACGCAGTGGCCGTGAGCAAAGGCAGCTTCATCTCAAAGACATCAATAATTTAGCAACCCCCTTGTTATGGTCACGGCTACATGCCTTCAGACCTCCCTCATATTGGCCTTCGGGCCCCTTCATTCCCACCGGCCAACTCATATTTCGCTAAGGACGGAAAATTATGGATCTCTTCTGCGGGAAAGTTGGCATGAAACGAGTATTGTGGGGAGAAGGTAAAAGCCCACTCGAATTTCAGATATCCAACACGTCCAGTACCATGCGTGCTCGGTTCCGCGACTGACTCTCTGGGGACTGTCCTGAGCCAGCTCTGCAGGACCCCCTTTATCATTTTTGCATTCTCTTTTAGGCACTGGTCAGACAAGGTCAGCGAGGAACATGCATAGCAGAGGCTTTACCCCTCCCCGGACTTTCACCATGCAATATAGTTTGGAAAGAGAAATAACAACCTCAAGACACCCCCTTTTAAAGACGCACGCCTGCCGGCTGGGGTGGGTCCATTCACAGTTCTCGCCTGCCTCCACGTCGTAAAGGGAGTACGAGTGGCAATGAAGGCGTCGGGGGAAGAGGAGAAGGAGGGAGGGAACACACGCCCGCCGGAAACCTGCAGATGTGTATACAGAGCGGCATGGCCTCTACTGACACCTTCCCATCCCAAGACCCGCCCCCGCCGACAAAGAGGGGGCCAAGTTCATATCCGAGAGCGGACAAGCTGGGCCACGTTTTTTGTGTCCTTCACAAAAAAGAAAGTATCCTTCACTCCCCGCCTCACGCACGTATATGAAGTAGAGTGCTAGGGAACTGGGACGATCTAAAGTGGGAATCTGGCCGCTGCAAGAGACCATAACCAAACTCGGCTATGTAATGTAATATTGAGCCGTTGACACGTCGACTGCTAATCGAATCTACACTGGCATTGCGTCGGCGAGACCATTCCTCTCCCCTGTTCCTTTGACTGAACAAACAGGCACGCATACGTATACACCCTTCCCTTATCCTCTCGTTGAAGGATCGCAGTGTATAAGTATTGGACAAGGCCGAATCTAAAGAGAGGGCCTCCACGATGCACGCTTTGCTTTTATATTTCTCCATTCTAGAGCTGAGAAGCCCTCCAAGTTTGATGATCTAAGTGAGTGGACGAAATAGGCAGCAACGAGATTGAACAAGGGTAGCGTGGACGCCGAGTGTCTGTCTGATACAGAACAAAGGTGGAAAAACCGACAAGCATGCGGGGTGGCGTCGAGGAGGGTTGATAGAAAAGGGGGAGGGGGGCGTCGAAGAGAATCAAAAGAGTGCGAGGGACTAAGAGAGAGGAGAGTGAGAGGGAGGGACGGAGAGAATGCAGAGCAGGTTATGCGGGCGGGCGGGTCTAGAAGCCAGGCTTGCTTGCAAAGTACTCCATGATGGCATCGACCTTTTGTTGAGGTACAGTGTAGATAGGATGGGTGGCAAGAAGGCGGTCCTTCTCGTCAAAGATCTGCTCTCCAGGGACGGTTGGTGACACGGTCCAGCTCAAAGATGGTTGACCCGTGGCGCTATCAAGGACGGACGGATCTTCTTTGAGCTGCCAATTATGTTGGGCGGAGCTGAGGCCCGCAAGAACGTAGTAGGTGTGGTACGAGTCGGAAGGTCTAGGGGCCGTTAGCTAAGAGAACGCGCATTAAAGGGCGACACCAAGGCATAGATGGCAGATGGATTTAAAGATGCCGGAAATGTATGGAAGCCAAGGCAGATAATGCCGGAATGGATAAGGTATTGAGGGAGGGGGAGGACAAGAAAATAACACCCATGTCTTGCAACGCGAAGAGGTCACTCAGGAGCGCAAAGTATAAAACTCACTTTCCAGGCTTGTCTCGAAGACCTCCTCGACTGGATTCGTCTTGACAACAGCTAAGAATGTACCTAATCAGACCTTCTCGGTCGAAAAGGCTTTGTTTTGGGGCGGGAAACGCGATGGCCGAGTTTTGGTCGTCCGACCCGACAGGCCCGTTCAGGCAGGCCTCGATGAGCGGCCAGCAGCCACCCACCCAGTGACTGTAACAACCATCGACGAGCTTGTTTGTGCGCCCGGAAAACCCGCCTTCGGGAGCATACTGTCGTGACGAGAGCCAAGAGATAAGTCGTGGAACATCCAGATACCTTTTTCGGCGAAAAGAAAAAGGAAAAGGCCCAAGTTAGCTTCATCTGTATGTAGTGCTTCTTGTCAACTCCTCACTGGACGCTCGAAAGACATACTTTGGAATGATGCGATGCGGTGCATCGAGGATGGATAGGCACCCTAATGCGCAGAAGGCGTATGCACCATGCGCTTCGGCGTCCGGCTGACCAGATATACCTCCCTCAAACGTTTGGCCTTGATCAAGATGGGGGTGTGAGTCAACGCTTCTAGGCGATTGCGAACAAGATACGAGCGACAGAGACTCGAGAATCCACTTACAGCGACGTACATATTCCGCTAGACCCGTGAATAGTGTCGGCCTCTCGGGAGTCCATGCTGGGGAGTCAGGAGAGAGGCCGATGGGGATGTTGAGCAAGGTGATGATCACCGCGGCGCAGTATGCGCCCCTGTCGGAAAGAAAAAAGAGGAAGAGAGGCGTGGGAGTTAGCTCGACTGCAACACGTCTTTCAAACTTGAGGGCGTAGACAAATACGTATGCTTTCACATCTGCATTCGGCGATCCACCCCACTCCTGCATGGAAAGTGGCAGAGCCTGAGGCACAAGGCTGGGCTATCTGGGAACCCCGCCAAGCGCGAGTCATTCTCGTGATGAAATCATACGTACCGGACATCAACCTCGCCACCATATGTGATCTGAAATCCACCATTGGGCTGTTTTAACGAGCAGAGCCATTTCCACATTGATCTCCTGTCAATAACGTCATATGCTTCTTGAGTTCCGCAACAGGACAAAGCGAGCACACAAGCAAACGTTGTCGCCAGATGCGAGGTTTGGCCGTGCCCGCCGCCAAAGCCTCCGCTCTTATTCTGCATCGTATGGGCCGTATCAACCAAGACGGGGCCGTACGCGGAGATGTCCTCGTCGAGGAGAGCGAGACCAGCGAGGTTCCACAGCAACATCCATGGGCGGCTTGCATCGGCAGCGATGTAGGGCGCGGGGAGTTTGCGCAGGTTTTTTAAGAAGTTCTTGTGCTTCTCGCGGGTCAAGGTCGGAACGCCATGCCGGTTATAGTCGAGGCGTGTGGAGTTGCCTCGAAGGTACGGCAGGCACTCCTTGACGGTCTCGTCCTGGATCCTGGAAGTGGATGTCTCAAGTGGGTCCCGGAGAATGGGTTGCGAGGTGAAGAGGCCCGGGATCGAGAGGGCCGGCGCGCTGGCGACTTCGGGACTATCAGGCGCGGACCGGATAGGGAACGTCTGGGATGTAGTCGCCATTTTACGTCGCTTCTGAAACTGAACTCTGGGCCGTACCTTGACTGCTGGAGCTCGTGGTCTCATATGGCGTGGTGGGGCAAGGATGAGGTAAAAGCGAGAGGGCAAACTCGTGGCGGGGAAGCTCACGCGCAAGAGAAGAAACTCTTTCTGGATTTATATGGAGGAATGCCTGGCAACCCCGGCCAAGAAAGGGAAAAGAAGAAGAGAAAGAAAAAAACCACAATTTCACCCAAGTCTCATTTCCGAGCCTGTTCTTCTTCTCCTGTCGCACTTGCCGTGGTCGCTGAGAACCTGGCTGTTGTGCGTTTCCAAGGGAGTCGTGGAAGCAAAACCGACAAGGGAGGTCCTTTTTCCGAGCGCTGCTCGAAGGAAGTGGCGTTGTGCCCCTCCATCCAAAAGGTGACGAGAACGTCAAAGCTAGGGATGGATGATTCATCAGGAGGGACTGACGCAGCTGTGACCAGCTGGTATCAAGCTCCCTTTGTCTCTTGCCATGGGCGAAACATCATGATCCTACACCCAGGGAGACGGGATTGACGCCGAATTGGGCGAGACTATGAGCTTTGTTTGCTCACTTTGATGTGCCTTGCTCTCCCTGCATAGCTTGGTTTCTATCATTGGGGCCCTTGGTGTTACACCTGCATCTCGGTGGGAGCAGGCTACATTCCAGGGCGTTTGTAAAAGCCCAATCACACCGTCGATTCCAAGCTGAAATATGGAGGAAGACGAACATCTTAAGATATACGAACAATAAAGAAAAGAAGAGAAAGAAAGATATATCGGCGACAGTGCTACCGTGGAGTAAGATTTCAATCTATTAATTTTAGGGCCCTCTCCCAATATAAACGCCAGGAACAAGAATATCGCTTGTATGCGAAGGGGAGCACGGTTTCCCTTGATAACAGCGGCTTCGAAATAGATGACCATCCAATCCCTTAAGAAAACAAACCACATTTAGCGCCGTATGATGAGATGGAAGCCACATAAATGCCAAACATAGCCGGTCCCTTTCTCGAGCTCCCCTCGTTCAAGAGGCGGACCTCATCCCCCTTCCGAACACAGCCCTCCAGTTGTCTGGTGGAGGCGGCAGCCACTCTGTGATGTCGCCAGGATCTGGAACCTTGCCATCTCGGATAGCCGCCTCCACAGCGCTCCAGTTCGCCGTCGCGGGGTCCGTGACCTCGGGGCAGGCGTCGTACCACTCCTCTGTTCGGTCGTCTCGGTCCTCATACTCTGGCCTCTGAGACTCGGCAAACTCGTCAGACCAGGGAAATGGCCCATCGTAGTTGATGCCCCACGCACGTGCAATCAGGACCACTTTTGTCCAGGGAAGCCTCTCTGATAGGAAAGGTGCCTTCCCACGCCTGTGACAGACTAACGTGGTGAAGATCTCTAAGACTAGGAGCAGGCCAACGTCCCGGTCGAGTATGGAACATTCGTCAACGTTGTGCTCAATAACACCATGGAAGGGACAGCCGAGGAGGTGTGGCCCGCTGAAGTCGAGAGGCTTGCTGCACTTGGACATGATGTGCTTGTCGCTGAGACAGTTTTGGCAAAAAACCGACTCTTCGCCGTTAAAATCACTAGCGGCGTCGTCGCCGTCACCACCGTCAGACATCCTCATGTCGCGTCCTCCGTGGTCAAGAGTCTCCATGAAGGCCTCCATGGGTCCATCGGGCCCCATATCCTCTTCGTATTCGCCGTCTTCCGACGGGGCGAAGTCGTCGTTATCATAATCGAGCACTTCGATATCGATATCTCCGTCATCTTCGCCATAGAAAAGTTCGTTCTCCGGCTCCACCGCCAGCACGAGCTGCGCCCAGCCAGGCTCCTCAGACTTGGCGAAGACCCCTTTGTATAGGGTTCTGTGGGCGCGAAACCAGCCCTTGGCAAATCCTCTAAGATCCTTATGGTTCCCGACAGCAATCATCATCTGTAGATCCTCCGTGATAACGCATCTTGTCCCTTTTCCGTAGCTGAGGAAGCGGAAAGCCTGGATTCTATCCTTGGCGATTATGGGTTCGGTGGGGAGTCGGCCAAAGGAAGACAGGTAGAGGTCGTCATCCTCCCAGAAGGCCTCATCGTTCTCGGTAGCGGATTCGGGAGACGACATCGCGGCCCTAGTTGCAGTGTTGACGGTCGGGGGCACGCCGCGAACCGCGGAATGGACCAGTCTATTGCGAGATTGCCTGCTCCAAAAAAATGATGATGCTGAACCCTTGTATTGAGGCGCCTTTTGGATGGCGGGGGTAGGGATGTTGTGATGGTGGGGGCCCCTTGAACATTGTCGAATCACAGCTTTCGGATTATGCCCGGTTTCCCTTAACATTTTCCGTCGCCTGCTTCTTCTTTGAGCCATGTTGGGACAGAATTATTTACTACTTTCTCACCGCGATGTTGATTTCGCCCACACAGGACGAGCTCTCTTACATCTAGGGCCTAAGTATTAATTACGATTCATGAAATGAAAACCATTTGAGTCTCGACTAGTACACTTTTATCTTTTTTTTTTTTTATTTATCTTTAAGCAGCCAATATGTTGTCCATGGTCCAAGGGGCTGTGGGCAAAAGGAATCATCCAGCAGCACAGCGTTCTATTCCTGTCCTGCTTAGTTAATCAGAAGACAAGCCGCCCCGGCCGAGATTTGAAGAGGTTCCTCCGACTCCGTCTAGAAGACGGCACAGATTGACCATTGCATGGGGATTGATGATGGGAGACCGCGTCCGATCAGGACACCTTGAAGCGGTGCCGGCGGGGAATTTGATTGATGCTGACATTGGAAATACAGTCGCATGGGCTTGTGAAACCGAATGATGCAAAAGTCCCGGCCCGACACGAGGACAGGAGCATTATCTCACCACCCTCCAACATGGCCGATACTTTTCCCCAGATACCATTGCCCTTGATTTCCTCAGCCCTACCGCGCCGACAGGACATGTAACAAGTACTTTAAGCGATAGGAAACGCCGTGAGATGACTGTGGAACGGAAGAGTCGTTGGGAGGGGGCGTTCATATAATTGTGTTCACGAATTGGAACAGAGGACATCGGCAGCATTCCCTTGGACATTCACAATGTTTGCCAGAGTCACTGGGCTCAGCCTATAGCTCCCACGAAGGTGGTGTCAGGGTTGTCATCGGGTGGTGGGGGCCAAATTTCCATAGGGCCAGCCAACCTCGACAGAGCCAAGGGCCGATATCTGCGAACTAATCCGGACCAAAAACAAAAAAGTCGAGGCAGCAACGACGATGCGGGAGTTGGGACTAGTCTCTCATCACGTCTATATCGCGGGAGGCAGTCGGCGCCTGCGGACCAGGCAGGACCCTTAGTGTACAAGTCCCCGAGAACAAGGCTTAGCTGCTTGCGTCCCCGGCTCGGCCATTATACGTTGTTCCCATTTCTGGTTATCCGTGGGACGGAAACCCGGACCCTCCGCATTTCTTCCCTGGGTTTCGTTTTTCCTTTTTTCTTCTTCTTTTTGGGCCCCTTTCTTTCTTTTTCTAGATGGCGATTTGGGCACCCGTCATGAATTTTTAGTCGGGCTCGAGCCTGGCGCTTTTATCTAAAACTTCAAGGCTGCTTCCAGAGTTGATTTGCTGCCTTCCTCCCTACGCCATCCGCCCTTGCTGAAACCTGGGATGTCTTGGTGCGTGGTAAGTGATGGATAAAAAAGTAAGGAAAGGCAATGGCGCGCGAGAAATGCGTCACCAGGCCAAATACAAGTGACTACTCAATTGTTTGGTGCTGGCTTAAGATCTAAGACAGCGCCAGTGCGCTGTTGCATCACATATCAAGCATGCCGTTTTATTCAGTCGACCCTCGGCGATCTCGACGTTCTTCCACTCGGAATTCATCCCAGGACATGGATCCATTGAACGCGAGGGCCATCGGAAGCGGCTACAGCAGGCCAGCGGCCTTCCTGTCTGACCATGCCCGTTTGGTGCTCTGAACCTGTTCAACTTGCCGAAGCGAGTACTGGACCTAGCCCAGGATTGCTCCAAGAGGCAGCTTGTGCCCCGCCGTCTCAGCATATGCACGCATCGACAGAGGATTGTCCCCCACCCTTGTCTCGTAAAAGAGTTGCGTATTCACATTAAAGGACGGTGGCAGCCGCTGTGGGGATTACCCACAACTTTGTTGAGGGCAGTGGCCTGGCTAAAGAGCCACAATTGGGCTGGTCCAGCGTGGGCTTCAGGTCCTGCTGAGTTGAATAAGTCTGTCCAATGGATTGATCCAGTCAAATTGCAGTCAGAAGATTGCCGGCGACCGCCACCAATACCGAGGACAAGCCGGCGTGTCGCCCACCCCATTCTCGCCAACCACGCTTCGTGCCCCTCCCTCAAGGGCGCACTATTGACCAGGCACCACGATAGGCTATCATGTACTCCATATCTCTTATGTATCGGTCCGTGGCGCTTGAGCATTTCCCCTCCCTTTCCGCCTCTGCAGCGAAGCGGCTGGGGAATATTAGGTTACTCAAAAGCGATGTGGAGCAAAGCCTACATCCTGGACGGATTGCGTTGGGCACAGGCAACAGGATCTCCAGCAGCCCGGAGGCAGCCGCGAAATACTCAGCGAGAATATGGGTTATGACCCTCCGCTCGACTTGAGACAAGCGGCGCCTCGGTTTCCTCCAGCTTTGAGTAATATGAAGACGGGGAGAAGAACCAAAAGAAAAAAACTTTTGACCAAAACCGCATCTAGAGAGAAAATCCGAAGAGGGTTGGATCATCTGACGAACCACGGAGGGGGCGGAAAGAGAGAACTGAGGAACGTCTCTCTCGTAAATCGTCAAAGGTCCCGCCGATGATGCGCTGGCATTTCCGCGGTGCTCCGCTGGATTTGGATAGTGCGGGTACACGTTGTAGCAGTGGCGAGCGGTATTCCCGTTCTTGCTTGTGCCTTGATCAAGGATGACCCACGTCGATAAGCTGCAATAGTAGAGGGATCTATGTTTCTGTACAGTGCGCTATTTTCTAGGTGCTCGAAGGAAGCAGGAATATCGGACAGTGTGAAAAGGAATATCCATGGGGTGACATTCAACCCAGACGCGCGATCCAGATCTGAGCCAGTCGCGGCTGCGCACCAGGGTTACAGGGCTTTTCGCTCCTCTTTTGTCTCGCCGCCTCCATGGCCCGACCTCGAAGCTCAAGGACGAAGTGCAACGTTGGCCGCCTAGCCTACGTCCTCTTCAAACCAATGCCGCCGGGAGATAGCAACGGGGACTTGGAGGTTGAGGGGTAAGCCGGATAATGCTGGTGGAAGGGAAAGGCAGGAAAAAGAAGGAAGCAGAGAACGAAACCTGGTGCATCAGGTGTGGCGGACATCTTGCAGGTGGCGAAGCGAACAATGCAGTTCAGTTTGTTGCCAACTCGCACAATGGACAAATAAGGCAAAGCAGCTGCTTCGACGGCTAAAAGGCGAACCGCCTAGCCTGGAAGCAAGCAGAGCAGTTGGCAGATTCGAGGTGCATGCAAGGAAGCAAGCAATCAAACAAGCAAGTCATTGCCATCGGTTGAAGGAGAGAGCCAAGTGGTTTCGTTTGTTCTGGCCCGGTATGATCGATGATGCCATCCGAAAAAAACTGGCCCGAAGCCTCTCTGGTTTTGCTCAGTCGTTTTTGACCCTGGAGATCGATTCTCACTCTCTTGGGGTGTGTGAGTGTTTTTTTTTTCTTTTTTTTTTTTTCTTTTTCTTTTTTTTTTTTTTTTTCACCGCCGAGATCCTACGTCCGACAGAGGTGGACCATTGTCCAAGCATGTACCGAGAAGGGGGATCGGTCTGTGCTCTCTCAAGGAACAAGACAAACCCCTCGAGCCACCTTCGAATCTGAGCCTAGAAGGGCAAAAAATGAAGAACAGGAAGTCCGGCTATCCTTGGGGTATCCGGTGAGAATGCCTCAAAAGACCAACTCAGCTACCATAGATACGCATCCCCATTTCGCCCATATTTTCATGTTCCCTCCCTTTGTTATCCATCAATTGATGGTACTCTTCTTTGGTTGTTAATCGGAAACGTTAATCGAGTCTGGGCAAAAGCTCCGCCGATTAGGTTAGGGATCTAACCAGGAGCACGGAGCACGGGAGAGGTGGAGGGGGGAGGGCAGGGATCTAGGTGGAACGGAGTATTTCATCAGTCCATTCAAGGTGGGCGAGTATGTTTGCTAGGGTTATCAATTGTGATTCAACATGCCCTCTCGGCTCGGCAAGGTTGATGAGGGCTTGCAAGTGGCGCGTGCACTGTTGATGCCCTGAAGCCGCCGGGCTTGATAGCCCCTCCTCAGACAACATTGAAGTCAATGGCTGGTAACTAATTATTGGGGCATTGGAAAAGAAAGGGGAAGAAAAAGGCGCACCGGCCAGGTACAAGCCGTCGTTCTACTAGCCCAACCCACCAGACCCTTCAAGGAAAGGAAACAAGTGGCTGGTATAGTAGAACCGACAGCCAAAAGGGGTGAATTTCGATCCCCTACAACGATCGGCTGATCTCGACTGATCATAGACTAAACGATAGTAGCCGCACTTTGTGGGCGGAAAGAAGAGGCCGAAAAGGGGCAAAGAGGAAGAGTGGAGGAAGCGCACACAAGTCTGGCAATTCTCGACGGGGAAATTTACATCGGCTCTGTGCATGGATTATATTCCCTAATGGGGCGTTCTAGGGCAGGAAAGGCCAGCTGGGCTCCAGACAAGGCGACTTTCACGACTCGTGTGCATGCCTTTCCAACCTTCACGTAGGATCGGCTGCGCCGCCCCATCAACGATCCAATGGTGCCCTTTGTTCTGGCGGTCTGGGAGGAAAAGGCTAGGTTGGTTGACCACTACTAGATCCGAGGAGGGCAAGTGAAAAAAACCAAGTTCATGCCCGCACTCATGTCAAGTGTCAAGAGGTGGCACTAGTTTAGGACAATGTTATGCTGAAGCCTCATGACCGGATCGGAGGTCTCATGTATTTATACACTATTGCATTCCTTGCATCGCCCAGGCTTGTCTCTCAGTCTTGATGTGATGTCAATAGGTCTCCTTTTCCAAGTTGACAGAGTTGACAGAGACGAAGTCTCAGACTCGCCGTTTCTTCGACGGGGCTGGAAGACGATGGGTAGGTGCACCGAAAAGTCTAGGGGCCAATAGATCAAGGCCGTGCACGCCACAGGGCAGGAGGGTCAAGTTGCCAATCTGGGCCTGGCCACATCACGATTGGGGCAAGCAAAGGAACAGGCGCCTTCATGAAGACAGCGGGTCCCGTCGACGACTTTGCGACCGCAATGTGAAGAGCTGCGCTAGGCGGTGCGAGTCCATATCGCAGCATTGAACACTAAGATAGCCCTATTGATTGCAAAATGCAGTGCTTGAAGCTCGACCCGCATCCGCATTCACCCGCGGATTAATTCCTGGAAAAGGGCCCCTCTCTGGTCGACTTGGCGAGAGAGGGAGAGAGAGGGTGGTGGATAATATTAGTGGACGAGACCCCGCTCGCCAACCAAGTGGGGCCTCTTTACTCAGCAATTATACTGTATTGGGCACGGAGGTGTCTAGCGTGTCGCGACGCGGGAAGCAACAGTGCGAGGATTTCAGGGCCACGCCTCTGAAATGCCACGAAATTTTTGTGCGGCTAGCGATTGGGTCATTGGACCCTCCTAGACCGACCACGCCCCCTTCCCGTGAGCGAACCCACCCCTCCTTCCCTGTCACTCTTGGTGGAGGCGTCGCTCCACGGACTTGCAGATACAAGGCCCTGTTTGACAGTGCTGATTGGCTCGCCTTCCCGGCAGGGGCTGGATGCCCGCCGACTCCTTCACCGCCTCTTCATGACCTCGTCCGTCCCTCGCCAAAACCGTGGGGAATGATCCTGTGGGTACCACTCGCCATTTGTCCCCTCATCTTTCGTTCCCGGAGGCGGCTTCAGCACCTGTCTTTCCCTCCTTCACCCCCAAACATCTTCCCCTGACAGCATCTGCTCCTTGACCGATCTCGAGTCGAGATCTCATCGAAAGAGCGGTGTCAGGGCTTTACCTGATACAATATCGATAGCCTTCGCAGCCGAATTCACCTCGCCATTTCCTGGTTCCTCTTTTCCCTTTCCCTTTTCCCCTCTTCTCCCTCGTTTCTCTTGTCTCCGGCAAACATGACTTTCGACTTCAACGCCGGTGGAGGAGGAGACCCCTTGTTGGAACTGACGTTTAATCAACGGAATCGCTATCCTTACCCAACAGCCCAGAACCCTCGCGGCCCAGCTCCCTCATCCACAATGACGCCTCAGCAAAGGGCGACGTGGTCGATGCCCATCGACTTGACCGCCTCGACCGGATCTTCCCCGCTCTCATCGAACCACAACTCCGATCACCAACAACAGGGTGACCACCTTCAAAACACGCCCTCTCCGGTGCAATCGAGTGCCAGCCCTCACTCCCAACATTCCGAGCCCTCGCCCTTCCAGGCCACCAGCCCGCTGACCGACTGGGCACTTCAGCAACAGCAGCAGCAACTGGCCCCGAGCGATTTCACCCAGTTCATCCAAGATCCAAACTTTCTCACCTTTCCAGCCATTCCGCCCAACTTCCAACCTAGCCCCCTGGACTACCTGCCGACAACGCAGGCCTCGCTTCACGCTGGCCTTCCTTTAGAATCTCCGTTCCCAGGTCTCCCTTCGGTTGAGGATGCGGCGGCTCAGACAATGCACTGGGGCGGGATAGGGATTCAGGACGGTTGGCAGGAGTTCGCCGCCACGCTTCCTCTCGACGGGCTTCATCATCGCATCGACAGTATCGGCAGTAACTCTCCCACGGGCACCTTTCTCTCGCTTGGCTCCAGCCCCGAAGGCTGGGCTCTGGTGGACTTTGGACCTTTCGATCAACTTGGCCAGACCACGAATCCCGCCATCTTCAACCCGAGCCAGACGCTACACCTCCGCACTAACTCCGACTCGTCCGATGGCGCCGGCTCAATGGAATTTGGAAGTTTCGAAGAAGTCGCCCCATTCCCGTATTCTCCCTTCTCTCCCGACTCGGATGGTTATGTCGACACCTCATCCCATCGCAACTGCTTCCCTAACGAGATGCATATTGCCCATCATACGCACGACGTTGTCAGCCCGACCGTTGCCGTTGGTCCTATGGCTATCAAGTCTTCGCCCTCCTCGTCCAGCCGCTCCAGCCCATCAAGCGGCTCCGGATCCACCTCGCCTCCTGCCACGAACAGCCGCAGAAACTCGGGCCCCGCAAGAGCCCCATTGCCAAGGCGACGAAGCCGGTCATCCGCCGCTCCTCAACCGGCAAGAAGGATGGAACCGGGGAGAAGAAGGTCGGCCGTCGCCGGGGTCCTTTGCTTCCTGAACAGCGAAAGCAGGCCAGTGAGATCAGGAAACTCCGTGCCTGTCTTCGTTGCAAATTCCTTAAGAAGACGTGTGACAAGGGCGAGCCTTGCGCCGGCTGCCAACCCTCTCATGCCCGTTTGTGGCAGGTCCCGTGCACTCGTATCGACATCAAGGATATCGGCTACTTCATGAAGGATTGGAAGGCTGACTATGAGCGTCATCTTATGCGCGGCGTGTCGGTATTCAACGTCAAGGGCTTCTCTCAGAAGGAGACGACCATGTGGATCACACACGGCTATGGCTTTGCACTCCCCGTCTCTGTTCGTGAAGTCTACGTCACGGATCAGAGCTGCTTCCAGCTTGATTGGGTTGAATCCTGCCATGAGCAAGAGCCTATCAACTTTGAAATCCCCACCGAACAGCTTGATGTTGGCGTGGAAGGGATATCCGTCAAGGCACTCTCTGAGTACCTGGACCAGCATATTGATGGACCTTTTGAGGAATTCATCGCCGATCACTTTGAGGGCACTCCGTTCGTGACTGAGATCCTGGCCACGGCTCACCGCTATTACGTCAAGGAAAAGTCTCCCGTCATCCGAAAGGCCCTCAAGCTGGTCCTTGCCTATAACCTTACCCTCCACATCACTCTTGTTGAGAACCAGGGGTCCGAGGTTCAGCTCGAAGGCCAGATTGACGATGAGGAGTCAAAGTTTTACGGAAGGGTCGTCGCTCCTGTTATGGTCAATTTCCAGATCAAGTGCGCCATGGCCGACATGTGGCGAGAACTCCAGAAGGACATCCTGGAAGAACTTTCCGCGCTGTACTCCAGCGTCTACAGCGGCGAGAGACTCAAGAACTGGCCTACCATTTTCATGCTGGCGTCTATCCTCTTGGCCGTCTGGGAGGAGATGCAGTTCGACTGCCACTACCGCGTGCCAGACCCGGCGGCGGTCAGCAAGTTCTGCACCGACATGGAAACTACTCCCGTTGGTGTCATTATTGGCCTCTTCCACGCCATCTCCCAGAAGCTCCCTAATTTCATCGACTGGGATACTGAGAAGCACGGCCACATCCTTAACAACAACGTGGCCGTTTGCGAGGCCATGACGGAAGTGCGGCAACATGTCATTAAGCATGGTAAGTTTGACATTCCTTATTCCCCTTCCTGGGACAACCCGAGCCAGCATCAGCTAACAGACTTTGTGTTTCCAGAGTCGTATCTCAGGACCCGGCCCGAATCCAAGTTTGATCCATCCGATTTTGACTCATTGTCAAACAAGTTCCTGTCCAAACTTGTGATTCGCGCCAACTAAGCCGGTCGTGTAAACCACTCAATCCCACTAATGACTTCTTGTTCGATACCCTCCGCCACTCCCGCCATATCCCATGAAATAAGGAATGGCCTGCCTGTTACATCCTTATAACTCTCCTTTGTCTCAAACTCCTTTTTTTTTTTTTTTTTTTTCCTTTGTCAATCCTTTGTCTTTTTCTCTCCTCTGCCCCCGCCCTCTACATATCTAGCGACGGCGTTTTTGATCGTGACGATTCGGAACGAGCGTCGCGACTTGCCGACTCACTTACGGACTCACCTTACACTCGCATCCCAACTGGCTAAACACGGCCGTTTTCTTTTTCTTGCTCGGATAAAAAGTCGTCGGCTTCACGTTTCACGACCTTATTGACGAAGACCTTTTTTCCTATTACTCTTTTATGATTGGTGCCTCATGGCCTTTATTTTTAAACTTTTTTTCTTTCTTCATGTATGAATGGCATTGGGACGGAAGACAAACTTCTTTTGTCAGAGTTCGGCTTTCCGTCCTTTCTTGGAGCATGAAATGAAGGCAAGATGGGGGATGTGCGCTTGAACGGTCTAGGATGAACTGAATGAAAGAAGCAACGCGGGCTGAATGCGGAGAAAAACGAAGTTATTGTTATCATGGAAGCATGAGCTGGACGAAAGGGAAACGCCGCAATGAGAACCAGAAGCATTTATATTTTGCCACCCTTTTCTATCATTTTCTTTCCGAAATGTCGTTTTAGAACGAAGAAGCATTGGGCACTGGCGTTCGCAGTTGACACTCTTGGACGAGGGTCATTTGGCTGGATGGAGGGCTGGGCTTCTCTCTCCAAAATGTTTTTTTTTCCTTTTTAAATGAGTGAAGCTGCCTTCCGAAGAACACATATCGATTTCTATCTTCTTTCTCGTATCCTAACAAATTATTACAACATAAAATGTCTTGTTTGCCCGTTTGTTCTAGAAGTTCGCAGTTATGGGTAATTTATGATCGTCTCGGCCTTTTTGTTCGTCCCACCGACGGGTTGGGCGACGCCGTACCGGAGAAGCACAGGGTGCGGAAGCAAACATGGTCACGAAGGGTTCAAGATGATTCCCAGATGGGGGCAAAAGGCCCGCTCGGTTCCATGATCGATTCATCGGCCAACCCTATCGTCGCTGATGCAAGGGACGGTGGTTGCCCAAAATCAGGGTTCTGTTCGCCACTTCCGAGTGTATCTGCGCTATTTCGCCCGCTAACATCCGCAACAGATGTGGATGGTAAGATTTGTTGCTGGTGCCTAGCGCAGGCTAGGGGAGATCTCAAAAAACCACTGATGGATCCATGAGTAAATTTCGCTATGAGATGAGAGTGAGTCAAAGGCCGAGAGGATGATGATTGCAGGAGCGGACGGGTGCCATGGGAAGCACCCGTGTGTCTCCGTCCCCGGAGGTACCCCAACGTGAGTGGGGATGCGCACTCATATCGATTCCATATCGATGCGAAAAGGAGTCGGAACGGCTTGTGTTGAAGGCGTGCTTTCTCCCAACGCCTGTTGACAGCGAACCCTCAAAAATCTCGGATAAAGAGATTGAAAGGAGAAGCAAAGTACAATAAAATTACTCAATTACGTCTTTCCAATCCTTCTTGCAACCCGATGGACCTAACCTGGATTTTGCATCCTGAGTCTCTATTCCGTCGTGGGTGGTAGCATTCATCAATCCACCGCAAAAACGAGGTTGGGCCATGCAAGACTGCTGGAGCAGAAGGTGGGAAACAAGACTGGCGATAATGCAAGATAGGAAAGAAGGCGGGGCAATATTCGGCCAGTGACGTAGCTACGGCGTGCACTGATTGGCTCTCATCCTATCATATGACAGGAGCCTTAGGCAAGGAGGTTAGCGCCGAAATTCGACGGTGCTGGAAAGAGGAAGTTGGGAAGGAAGAAGGGGGACATCTTCATCTGCGCCCGCCTTCTTGGTCTCCCCATCAGAGCGTTGGAAACAAGATCTTGGGGGAAAGAACGCATGAGGTCAGTCTTGCAGCGGGTTTTGCGGCCTTTTTCGACTTTTTCATTTTGATAGTCTCAATGGGGAAAGGGGAACCCTGGAGAGAGAGGGAGTCATTCGGGAAAACAAACTTGGGCCCACGAGGCACCGCCCTGGCGGCACCTCAAACGGGGCCGATTGGAAGAGTGGGGCATACTCTGCCTGGAGCTGGCCCGTGGGTGGGCGGTGTTAGAAAGGCTTAGAAGGCTAGAAGATAGGAGATCCAGATTGATACCGGCCTCTGCCAAACAGAGGGAGGAAGGCGACAGTTTTTGTATCGACAAAAGAAAGGCTTCAAGATCGCTGGTGTCGAATTTGCCACTGGGGGTACTTGATTTTTCTCTTCTATGGAAAACTTAAAAAACGCGATAGAACGGTTGGGAAAAGGAATGCGCTCTGCGAATCATGGGCGAGGATTGCGTCAGTCCGGGTTGGGCGAGATGCTTCTGGACCATTCCCTGACCGGAAGGGTGTCCTCATAGAGAAGGCTGGGTCAGGGCGTCCCCCTTCGCTCCCTCCGCCACCACCATCTATTAATCAGCTGCGCCGCCTCCCTCCTAACTGCCCCCGCAACCGGCCAAGGCAACATTGACGCAACGGGAAACTGCTCTCCTCCTATTTAAATCGTTTCCCCCTCACTCCTCTTCTTGGCTTTCCTGTCAGAACCTCTTCCTCCCTTCAACCCACTTTCATCATCTTCAAACCTTAAAGGGAACTCGAGATCCCTATTTCATCTATCCTCTTTTCCGAGCCGCAAAGTTGCTCCCATCAACATACTCTTCCATCTTCTCGTCTCCCTGCTGTGAATCCGTCCAACATCATCATCATGCAGATCTTCGTCAAGACCCGTAAGTCGATAACCCCCTCCCACGCTGCACTTCGTATAAGGGATCACTTCCAATCCTAACACATTTGATTATCTAGTTACCGGAAAGACCATCACCCTCGAGGTCGAGTCTTCAGATACTATCGACAACGTAAAGTCGAAGATTCAGGATAAGGAGGGCATCCCCCGATCAGCAGCGTCTCATTTTCGCTGGCAAGCAGCTTGAAGACGGCCGCACCCTTTCCGACTACAACATCCAGAAGGAGTCCACCCTCCATCTCGTCCTCCGTCTTCGCGGCGGTATGCAGATCTTCGTTAAGACCCTTACTGGCAAGACCATCACTCTCGAGGTCGAGTCCTCGGACACCATCGACAATGTCAAGTCGAAGATCCAGGACAAGGAGGGTATCCCCCGACCAACAGCGATTGATCTTCGCCGGTAAGCAGCTCGAGGATGGCCGCACCCTCTCCGACTACAACATTCAGAAGGAGTCCACCCTTCACCTTGTCCTCCGTCTCCGTGGTGGTATGCAGATTTTCGTCAAGACCCTCACCGGCAAGACTATCACGCTCGAGGTCGAGTCTTCGGACACCATCGACAACGTCAAAAGCAAGATTCAGGACAAGGAGGGCATCCCCCGATCAGCAGCGTCTTATTTTCGCCGGCAAGCAGCTTGAGGATGGCCGCACTCTCTCCGACTACAACATCCAAAAGGAATCCACCCTCCATCTCGTCCTCCGTCTCCGTGGTGGTATGCAGATTTTCGTCAAGACTCTTACCGGCAAGACCATTACCCTTGAAGTTGAGTCCTCTGATACCATCGACAACGTGAAGAGCAAGATCCAGGACAAGGAGGGCATCCCCTGACCAGCAGCGCCTCATCTTTGCCGGCAAGCAGCTTGAGGACGGCCGCACTCTTTCGGATTACAACATCCAGAAGGAGTCTACCCTTCATCTCGTCCTTCGCCTTCGTGGCGGTCAGTAGTCAATTACCTGCGAGTCGGGCATCACTACTGAATACTCTTCTTGTACAAGGACGATTTGTTTCATGGGCGTTTGGGAATGGATTAATGGCATAATGATATCTTGAAGTACCCTAGCATAGTTTCTTCACACATAAAAAGCCCCCGAAAGGGGCATGTGTGCATGAATAGACGCGAACAATAAGTGTCTCAGCGATTTTGAGGTCTTTGTCGACCTAGCTCCCGAGAAATGTGATACCAGATGTACGCCTCGTAGAAACTCTTGATCCCCTGTCGTCCATGTCGTCCATGTCGCTACAACGTCAATGGATCCCCTAAAAGGCGGTCTACTGACCAAGACTTGTACATACGACCACAGCCTCGAGAAAACACGCGATCCCGTTCGCTCTCGCCTCGTTAAGCTCCAGAGCGTCAGACTAGTAGTTGGGTCGGTGACGACCAGCGAATCCCTGATGTTGTATGTTTCTTTTCGTTTCTCTTCTTTTTTTCTTGTTTTTTCCTCTCTTCCTCCACTAAAAATATTCTCAAGAATAATCTCATTACTTATTGCAGGCGATGATTCTACTGCTCTCATGTCGACTCTAGCCACCCACTCCTATTCCCGCCAGTGGCAAACTGTCGGTCTTGGAAGAGGAGGGGCCGAACTGAAGTGAGGGGTGGCCACTGGGTCACGCTTTCCAAAGTGGAGCAACGACTGGAGCTTCCCTTCCAAAATGGACAGCTGAGTATTACAATTTAATAATGAGGATTGGCCGTGAGGCAGCCTTACCAAGAGCCGCCCCTTCCCTTGCGACAAGCTGTATGCAGTGCAGCTTCCAAGGCTTTGGACCTCATGTTGCTCGTCGAAACTTGTAGAAACCATTAATAATACTTGTTAAGCCCGACTATTTCCTCCCACCTTTCCATCTCTCCCCAAACCCACGACATGTCCACCTAGAGACACAAGATCTTCCGCTTCGGCCCACCCAAAATCCTTGAATTCCGCATCGCATCTTTATCCGAAGCAACGGCCCTTTTGGACGCGAAGCAGCCATGTCGGGCTGAGATCCTTTGCTATGCCTTCCTACTTTTACCACCTCACCTTTGAACTCTACCCGACGTCGAACCCCACGGACAGGGACCCCCAGTACCGCAGCCCCGGAACTCTGGGTCCCCCGCACGAGACCGACATCTTTGGCGACTTGCCATCACATCAGCATCGAAGCAAAACCAACCCCAAAATCAAAACCGCTCCTCGATTGTACTCGACAGCTCACATTCAACCCCAATCCAGCGGCCAAGCGAGCAGCAGCTCTCACACGGAGCCCGGACCAAGCGTAATCGACTGTGGGGCAGATCGGAAACCGCACGAGGAGGACCGTCGCAAGATTGAAATAGTCCCCGAGAGAAAGTGGAGGGAACGGACTAAGAGCCTGCCGCCGCCCCCATCCTCTGCTGCCATTCAGCCTCAGACTGCGGTGAGGGACTGGAGATTTGGCCGAGTGAGCATCGAGAGTATCGATTTCCAACAAGAAGAGGAGCGCGAGGTGACAGACGCGACGATGGGCGATGCGGGACCGAGCTCGGCAGCCACCGAGAATCCCAACGCTGCTGCGTTTGCTGCCCTGGAGCTGGGACCGACGCTGGGCGGCGACGGCTCCTCTACGAGGGCAGAGTGCGTGTCCGTCCCCACCAAGAATACAGAGGTCGGCTGGGGTGTTGTCCACTTTTACCGGGGAGAAGAGATGCCTACGGTAGGACTAACGGCCGGCGGAGCCTCTACGGTGGGACCAGAAGAGGATGGGTGCACGACGCTCTGCATCCCTGCCGTTCCGAGCTATATCCTTCCTGCAGAATTTCTCGGCTTCGTGGGTGAGAAATGGAGATCTGGTGTCACCCATTTCCGCATGGTCATGACGTCTCGGATGAGCCGCTACCTCGTTCTTTTGAAGTTTCGCGATAACAAGAAGGCCAAGGAGTGGCAAAAGGAGTTTAACGGCAAAGTGTTCAACTCCATGGTGGTGAGTTCAATTAATCCTTATGCGTTCCCCTTGCGGTTCCGCGTTATAGCAGCAGCTAATACTCTCCTTTTCTTTTTTCTTTTTTGTCTACAAGGCCGAGATATGCCATGTTGTCTTTGTCAAGTCAATCACATTCGAAACGCCTACAAGACCTCGGGAAGCCGAGCCCAGCCAGTCGCGTGCATCCTACACACTTAAACCGTTTCCTCCCCGACGCCAAACCTCATTGAGCTCCCCACATGTCCAGTCTGCCTCGAGCGCATGGATGACACAAATGGCTTGATGACGATACCTTGCCAGCATGTATTCCACTGCACGTGTCTACAAAACTGGTCGGGTTCAGGGTGTCCGGTCTGTCGGTACTCGAACCCGTCACACAACGACGCGTCCGGGAGCCATGCGCCGGCGTTTGGCTCATCCATCTCCAATCTCTGCGCGGTGTGCGACTCGACCTCGGACCTTTGGATTTGCCTTATTTGTGGCCGCGTGGGCTGCGGAAGGTATAAGGGCGGGCACGCCAAAGAGCATTGGAAGGAGACGGCACACAGCTTCGCACTAGAAATTGAGACGCAGCATGTCTGGGACTATGCCGGGGACACTTGGGTCCACCGGCTTATTAGGGCCAAAGGGGACGGCAAGGTTGTCGAGCTCCCAAGCCATAACAGAGAGGGTCACTCAGAAGATGAGGACGTAGTTCCGCGGGCCAAGGTGGAGGCGATGGGCCTTGAGTACACGCACCTATTGACGAGCCAACTGGAATCGCAGCGGGTGTATTTTGAGGAAAAGATTGCACAGGCCGCGGACAAGGCCCACAAAGCGACTCTCCTGGCGGAAAGCGCCGCGGCAGAGTCATTAGCAGCGATGGAGAGGATACGTATCACGGAAGCTAAGTGCACAGAGCTCCAGAAAGACGTTATTCCGAGTCTCGAAAAGGATCTCAAGCGAGAAAAGGCCAAGGCTGCGAAGACACATGACTTGGCGAGGAATCTCGGCAAGGAGCTTCAAGAGGAGCGGCAGATGAGCAAGGGCTTGGCTGACCGAGTTGAATACATGAAGAAGCAAGAGCTGGCGATCCAGGACCAACTTAAGGAGCTTGAGGAGCTCAGGGAGACCAACCGCGACTTGAGTATGTTCATATCGGGGCAAGCCAGGTTGAAGGAACTGGAAACCTCAGGCCAGGTAGAAAGCGGCGAGCTGGAGGAAGGTACCGCAATGGTGGGTAGCAAGGCTCGCAAGGGCAAGGGCAAGAAATGAGAGGCAATATCACAAAGGCGTAAACGCTTGGGAGTTAGGTCGGGGCCAACTCGTCCACGACTGGGGTGGGGAGCAGGCGGAGGCGTCGAACGCGGCGGCAGTAGACTTCTCGTCACTCTTCAACATTTGGTATTTTAGATTACATGTAGCCATGGAAAGCGGTGGTATGGTGTTTCAAGGCGTTGGTTCAGTACGGGTATACCCAGCGACGGAGGGGCGAGAAAAAAAAAAACAAAAGGCACGGCATGAGTGTATGGGGAATATTGGAATATTCTTTTCTGTGGGTTGGCTCAGCATTCGTGAGCGTGAATGCTTTGGAAGAACCGGCTGAAATTGAGATCAAGCTTAGAGGCAGCTAGCTAGCCACACATATCTTAGTCGAGCTTAAGAAACAGCGGGATTCTTGGTGATATACAGAGAAGAGGCTTGTTGCCGCGCAGACGTGGAACCAGATGATGGGCCCATTTCTCTCACCCCTCTCGCGTGATGGGTTTCCTTCTCCGGACAGCATCCCGCCGTTATAATGCATCTTGAAAGAAGGCACCTTGGGTGGTTCGAGTGTGAAGTAAAGCTCCGACTTTATTGAATCACCGTCACAATGGGGATTGGCCACACAAGAAAAGACCTTAACGGCGGGGTTCTTGGCCCGGCACTAACATGACCCTATTGAAGATAGAAGTGGGACTAATACAATGGGCCGGACGCGGGGCCCGAGACCTCCCTGGTGTGTTCTGGACTTTGAAGCGCTGATGGGCTCCTTTCCCTCCTCTTGGCTCTCCTCAATAGATACCCGCTTCTCTGTCATTTTTTTCTCTTTCTTTTCTGATTTTCTCGTTTAGTTCCCTCCGGCCGGTAGAGGTGCCCAGCGCTTGGCGGCGGCGCGAGTGGCGGACATGTAGCTCGGTTCACGTGAATTTTTACTGTCATATCTCTTCTGCCGCGGTGGGTTGGACCAGGGGGCGTTTTTTCCCCTTCTCTTCTTTGGGACCGCTCTCTTGTGGATGGCGGGTTTTTCACTCAGCATAGGTCACATGTGTAAAAGAGCTTTGAAGAAGTTGAGGACGCAGAGGCGGAAAGTAAGTTTATTGCCTTGCCCTGGTAAGCCCTGGCTACTTGATTGTAGAAATTTGTTGGCGGATACATATGTGGTCTTGGGGAGTGTGAGACTGTGGGCTCAACAAAAAGCAGCGAAACGGGGTCTCCTTTCGTGGACCTGCATTCAGTTGGGTTTCTTGCTGGCCGGGATCCAAGTCAATGGTGCCCCTCTGAAAATTGAACAAAACAAAAGAGACTCGGTGGCGGGGCGGAGATTCTCGGTGTTAGTGGGGTTCTGCACCCCAAGACTCAACCCTCAAAGCGGATCGAGGTTCGGGCCCCCGGCTGACAGCGGGAAGAGATAAGAAAATGGGAGAAAGGGAAGGCTTGTGAGATGCACTGCATACCTGGATCCTGCATAGTGCCCTCCTCTCCCTTTTTCTTTGCAGTAGGATGCCTTGGCAGCTCGGTGACGGAGATGGAGGGTGACGACCGGGAGAGCCGAACCAAGGGGGTGATATTGACGGTTACGGGCGGTCCGGGGACCTAACCAAGAAACTAGGAAAAGAAACAAAAAAAAAAAAAGAAAGAAAAAGACCGAATTTCTGATCGGTCGAGGGTAGCTGGCCTCTGAACTTTGAAGAGTTTTCCTTTCTTTACGTGGCCTTTCTTCACCACAGGGCAAGTCGCATAGCGAAGGTAGGGAAGGGTCTCCGTGATGTTCTAGCAAGCCCAACCCCTGCTGAGTTTGGCGCCACCAGCCCGGGGAAAAGGTGCCAATTGATGAAGGTTATCTGAGGAAAATGGGGTTGTGAATAGGGCTAAGAAAGATCCACGGGCTCTCGCTCTCTTTCTTGCCAATCAGTGTTCGATAGAGCAATCCTCAAGCGGATGTCACGGATGCTAGAGATACCATCAATGAGGGTCGGCTTTCTTAGGGAACATGAGAAAACGAGCTGGTTCGTAATAGACCCAATTTCAGTGGACCTGGATTTATTGGTATGTACCCGCTACCATTGAGGGCTAGCCAGTGCAAGTTCAATTTTGATAGAGTCCAAATCTGCCCTTGCCTTCTCTCACCCCGCTCTCCCAAGGTCGCCGGTGTGTTTCTCCGTTGTCTCAAGCCGGTCTCCGAAGGGATAAGAATACTCAGGGCTTGGGGCCAAGCGTGCGCCCTCTAAGCTAGTCGATCTCAATGGAAGGCTCAAAGTTGGCTAGCGCCTGTTGGTCTCCATTTTCTCCAGCGGAGCCTTGCTTGACCTATAAAGTACGATGTAAAATCAAGTCGTCGACGTTCAAAGTCGGGCGACCCCATTCCATGGCGACGATCCACGCATGCTTGGCTCACAGCGTTCCTTTCAATGAAGTCAAGGGCCAATTGATATGCAAAGTCGGGTTGGTCAAGGTCCCTTCCCATTTGTTACTTTATATTAAAAGGAAGAATAATCCTGTTTTAAGGGAGAATGGAAGGAAACGGATGAAAAAAAAAAAAAAGACGGAAAAAAACAGTAGAGCTAGTAAAGTGGAAGACAGCGTTCGAGATCTAGCAATGGATGCAAACATGTGAGAGCTATTCTCCTCACAAAAGTCCAAGCTCCAACCCGCTCGAGGCCCGTTCCAAGCAGTTGAACGCTTTTGGATGCTGAAGTGGGTCCCTCACGCAGGTTGGTTCCGCCACAAGTGCTTGAGCTATTCGAAGCCCGGTTCCAGTTTTGAATGCAAGGTGGATTCAATGATTTGAATGTACCAATTCTTCTCTTTGGTCGCACCTTCTTCGAAGAGCACAGGGAAAGAGGGCAAGGGAAAATAACCGAAGTTCGGGAAAGCGGAAGGATCAAAGGAACAAGTGTAGAAAGAAAAGAAATAAAATCAAAAGGGTCAAGTACGACCTAGGAAAAAAAAAAAAAGAAAAGTATCAAGGCTAAGGGCGGGGAAATGTGGGGAAAATGGAAGAGAAAAGAGAGAAAAGAGGAAAGAAATAGGCGGAAGCAACAGCCCTGAGACCTTCTGAATCTCTGGAATTTGAGGGACCATGTTGTTGGAACTGGGTTCATGTCGAGAGATGTGGGCGGAAAAGGCCCGGACGCGGATGGGCTGACAAGATCGCATGCTATGATTCAACCTTGCGTCTGATTGCATCAAACTCCCCACCCTTCTTGTGCTACATCTCACCAGAACAAGGTCCAATTCATTAATTCACCTCGTCCCCCCTCATCTCTCTTCTCTCCCCAACCTTTGAGCATTTTGCTACTCTCACGTTCCCGCCTCAGCACCTCGACATCCTAATTAGAGTATATTTTCCGCGACACCCTCTTTTAAAGTCTCCGATCCTACCCTGCGCCTCTGGCTTACGAGCCTGCCAGAGCGGACCATTCCCCGCATCCGGACTCGATCACAAGCTTTTCTACCCTCGGTTGCCAGTTGGGGCAAACTCACCCCTGTCCCATCCCAAGCTTCCTCAAACCACAAGAGCAAAGAAAAAAAAAGTGGAAGGATTAGAGCGAGGCTCACAGGAATAGGAAACGATCGAAAGAGACAGGTTTGCTAGCTTGCTGTCGCCTTCCTTTTACCACACCAACTCGACGGCTGCCGTCATTTCCTCACCTTGATTCTTCTTCTCTTTCTCCTTCTTTGGGTCTGCTCTGCTTTTTTTCTTCCTTCTTCGCCCTTCTCTGTGTGTCTTTTGATTGGGGTTGCCCCTCGTTTCCACCCTTTCCTCCTCCTCCGAACTACTCCTCGAACCATTTTTATTTTTCTTCGAGCGCCTTCCTTTCTTCCGACGACGATCGATTTGGCTTATCGCTGCAGCCCCCGTTCTCGATAAGCTCTCCCGCCACCGTCATGGAGAGGGACACGGAGCGTGGACGGACTGCGCCTCCAAAGGAGCTCTATCCTATGGTCAACTGGAAATATGACATCTTCTTATGGGTGATTGGCATTGTTATCGACTTGTTCTTCAGAGAGGTCGTGCCCAGAGGATCGTGGAAGGTGCCCCGGGAGGGACCTGTACTCTTCGTCGCGGCCCCTCACGCGAACCAGGTGGGTTCTTCACCCCGACTTCTTCTTTCCTCCCAGGGCCTATTTTCACGGTCGCCCCTTCAAACATCCCTCCCCGCCGGAGCTCGTCTTACGGACCCGTTCATGTCGCTAACAAATGGGTGATTTCTGCGCTTCTAGTTTGTCGATGCTATAATACTCCAGCGAACCCTGCGACGCGAGGCCAACCGACGTGTCTCCTACTCATCGCACAAAAGTCTGTCCATGGCTTCGTCGGCTGGAGCTCCCGACAGGTCGGGTCCGTTCCCGTCGGCCGAGCCCAGGACTCGGCTAAACCCGCCACCGGAGCTATATACCTCCCCGACCCGATCAATGACCCTACGCTGATCCGTGGCGTGGGTACCAAGTTTGGCCAGGGCGAGGGCGAGGTGGGCGGTATGATATTCCTCCCCTCCATCAAGGGACAGTCGGGCGCGAGTGTGGACATTTCCGAAATCATCAGCCCCGAGGAAGTTCGCATAAAGCGCCCTTTCAAGGGCAAGTTGTCGATGGAGCAGCTCACGGGCCGCGACGACATTGATGAGAACGGAAAGTTCCTGAAAAAGAATCTCAAGGGCGCCCGCGAAGGCTTCCAGGGCACCAAGTTCAAGCTCGCCCCCACATCGACCAGACCAAGGTGTACGAGGCGGTGTTTGCCCGCCTTCGATCCGGCGGCTGCGTTGGCATCTTCCCCGAGGGTGGTAGCCACGACCGAACCGAACTTCTCCCCTCAAGGCCGGCGTTGCCATCATGGCTCTCGGCGCCCTGGCTGATGCCCCCGACTGCGGCTTGACCATCGTTCCCGTAGGCATGAACTACTTCCACCCCCACAAATTCCGATCCCGAGCCGTCGTCGAGTTTGGGAGCCCCTACGAGATCCCCCCGCCTGGTAGAGCTGTACAAGAACAACCAACGACGCGAGGCCATTG